GCTTCTCCAAACACGCTAATTAGATCTGGAGCTCTGGCCTCGCGCTCTGAAAGCAGCCCAGCGGCGGGGCGCGCGGAGCTGTGGAAAGTTAATTGAATTAAATTTCCTCTAAACTAATTAGGCTGCAATCTGCCACGCGAGCTGTCCCTGTGCAAGGTTCGAATTAGGCAGAATGGATTTGTTCCTTTTTCTTTAAAAGAAAAGGGAGGACAGGCTGCTGTGGAGCAACCTATCTATCCACCCTTCCCTTTTTTTATGAAAATTTCCTTTATGCGGATTTTCCCAGTCGTCATAACAGAACAGAAACATATTCGATAAAAAAAAAAAAAAAAACAGAGGCCGACATTTTTACGCAACATGTGCGTCCAAAGGGACTGCTGGGTGATAAACTGAAAGCTGCATGAATGAGGCTCATCTTCAGAGCGAGAGCTGAGAGGTATAATGGAGGAGGAGGGGGGATCGATCGGCTTCCTGGGGGAGCACAGTGAAAGCCGGAGGGAGGCAGGGAAGAGGAGAGAGCAGGAGAGACATGGATGAAAATGCCCCGTTAAGAGCGGGGACAGTTATGATAATGGGAGAGCCGCTAGTAGTCGTTCATCATTCAGCACCTCCACCTGGCTGCTGCACTTCTCTGAGGATAATCTAACACACTCACTGCAGCCTCACCTAGAAAACAGACCCCCCACCTCTATCATCTCTATCTTTTTCTGCACATTTAACTCTCATCCAGTAGGAGGAGGAGGACACAGATGGACAGCAGGGAAGGGAGGACGGAAGGAAGGATGCAGGGGAGGAAAGAGGCAGCAGAAGGCAAAATGAGGGGAGATAGAGGGGAGGCTCTGGGACTATGGATGGGCCTGGTTTCTGTTTCTCCATAATCTAATCAGAGAAATGGCAGCAGTCAGAAATAGCCTGACGGACAGACTAAGAGCCTCTCCTCTTTCTCCTCCTCTTCTTACTCCTGTCTTCCTCCGCAGGGAAAGGTAAATGGATACACACACACACACACAGAGCACTCTGACTTCCTAAAACCATAAAAGGGAAGATTCATGTGAGGGTTAGAGGAGAAAGATGGGAAGAGCCTGGAGGTAACAAAGCAAAAACCTGATCTAATGTCCATATGTAGCCGCTTCCAAGAGTCTGGGGCGCACTGTGAAACATCTGCTGGTCTTTTGCTTCTCTTCTGTGGCATCTCATCCTCATCAGATCTATGCAGGCGGCATCATAGGAACTTTACAGTTTATTTTAAAATTTAATTCAGTTTATTTCTATAGTGCCAATTCACAACAGATATCATCTCAAGGCGCTTTACAGAAATAGAGATCATACAGTCAAATTTGTTCAAAGTTTTCTATCTAAGGAAAACCAGCTGATTGCATCGACTTGTTGACTCAAAAGCAATCCCTCACATGCTTATAGTGACAGTGGAGAGGAAAACCTTTAACATGTAGAAACCTGCTACAGAACCGGTGAGCTGCCATCTGCCTAGGCGGACTGGGGTTCAAGGAGACAGAAGCAGACATGGAAAAAGATGCAGCGATACAAAAGGTAACTATCAACCAGCTCCATAGGCGACCCCGTCCTGGAAAGACACAGCCAGGTAGACAAAGTTGAGCCAGCTCCCATGTAAGAGGATAACAGAGAGTGCAAACTGTCAGAGAAACAGGACTACACTGATTAAACAGGCCTATCTCCAACGTCTATAAACAAAGGTGTTGGCAGCAGCACAGCTGATGTTTCTCTCCAGGATGGTGTCACGGCCAAACAGGAACAGATGAAGCTGATGAGGAAAAAAGCAGAAAGAGAGCATATTAGAGATTGAACTTACAAATACTGCCGAATGGAAAATAGAAATAGAATGAAGCAGAATGATGAAAAAGATGTCCCTATGTCCTCCAGCAGTCTAAGCCTATAGCAACATAACAATAGAGATAGCACTGGATAACCTGTGCCACATTAACTATAAGCTTTATCAAAAAGGAAAGTTTTAAGCCTAGCCTTAAAAGTAGACAGGGTGTCTGCCTCACGGACTAAAACTGGTAGTTGGTTCCACAGGAGAGGAGCCTGATAACTAAAAGATCTGCCTCCCATTCTATTTTCAGAAATTCTAGGAACCACTAGTAAACCTGCAGATTGAGAGCGAAGTGCTCTGTTAGGAACATAAGGAACAATCACATCTCTGATATAAGATGGAGCTTGGCCATTAAGGCTTTATATGTGAAATGGAGGATTTTAAATTCTTTTCTGGATTTAACAGGAAGCCAATGAAGAGAAGCCAGGATAGGAGAAATATGATCTCTCTTTTTAATTTTCATCAGAACTCTGGCTGCAGCATTTTGGATCAGCTGAAGGCTTTTAACTACAGTTTGTGGACTTCCTGATAGTAAATAATTACAATAGTTCAGCCTTGAAGTAACAAATGGATGGGCTAGTTTCTCAGCATCACCCCTGGACAGGATATTTTTACAGAGTATTTCAGAGATTAAAGGAGGAAATTCTAGAAAATATTTGATAAAAAAGAAATGTAACCTCAGGGTTCTGATCATGGTACTAACTGGACATTTCTATATTGATATATCTTGTCATTTAAAATAGCAACTTACCATAGTTAGTCTATTTTGTCATAATCTTTATTTATTCAAGATAAAAATCTACCCTCCCTGGAATAGGCAGGTGACATCACATTAATGCTTCTGAATGCATCAGTTGTAAGTCCTCTTATTTTCATGTTTTTAATCAAGTTCCTTCTATAAACGGATTGAAATGTTTTCTGTGTGGCTGCAGCAAACGTTTGAATAAGAGTTTGGTAACAAGTCATTTTGAAATGCTCTGTAAAGAAGGCCAGATTTTTTATTAGCAAAGACCTGCAGTGATCATTTATGACCAAGTTATACAAAAGAAAAAAAAAAGGCACATCTCCAGTTTGATACGCTGCATTACCTTTTACCTCTGTGGAATATATTTTTTCTAATGAGCCCAGTGCTACCAGTAACTGCTCTCCGCCCATTGAACCTGCAGTATAGACTGTATGATCACCATCATTCCAGTCAACATTAAGAGCGAAGAGAGGGGGTGGGGGGGTGGGGGGGACAATCCTTCCATTCTGCATTCGGTAAAAGAAGCTTGTCCAGTTTGCTTAAAGATCGAGAGCGTAGACTGCACTCTCATTTCTCAATGACAACTGGTAGGCTAAATATGCATGAACACAATGGGGAAACATTTAAACAGGAATACCAACAGATTTTGAAGGCAATTATTTACATCTCCTTACATAGATCATGAGAGATACAGCTGTACCCCTCATGATTTATGTAAAAAAAAAAAAAAAATCCTAAATGTTACTTAGCTGATCAGATGGATGACACAAGCTTTAAAAAATAGAATAAACTGATTTGTCTTACTGTTTAAAGCAGATTTATTAAAATCTTAGGATATTATCCATTAATCTGTGTATATTTTGCTCTTTTTTTAAACATTTTTTGTGAGATAAACATCACAAAGCAGTATGTTTATAACACAAAAATATCCTAATTAGTAAATATTTAACATTGACTTTTACACTGACTTTAGTTATTCAGATGACGATTTTTTCTACAGTTTTATTTAATAACATTAAAGCTTTCAACAACAAAAAAATGATCAAGCATTTATGCTTGGCTGTTCTAATGATTCAAATTCATTTTTCACAATTTGCTTAATGTTAAAAAAAAGTAATAGCTTTGCAGTCTCCCTTTTATATTAATGAATTTTTATTTTTAATTAGCCTTTTTTTAATCCAACTAATTCAGAAGTTGGAACAATACTTGAATGTAGAGGAAATCAGACGATTTGTTGCAAAAGGGAAAGGTTTGCAACTACAGATTTCCTCTTTGAAAACCATCCCTGACTTTGTGTGGATGGCTTTAAAACAGACTGTGCCTGCTGTGGTTGGGGGGTCCAGGCACTGTAAAAAGGGACCATGTCTTTCCCTGACCAGATAATTACTCCCTATGGACGACACATTCCTGCAGGCTGTTGTCTGTCTGAATGTGTGAGATGCTTTCACCGTGCCGCTTTCCTTCCCGGGGTCCGACCCGGACCCCCACATGCAGCGGGATTCCAACGAAATTCCCCTGTCATGTTGATTCACAAGGTGGACATGCATTATTGTTGTGTAGAACTCCCATCCATCCATCAGGGATGTCAGTACGAGCAAAACAGAACAAAAAAAAACAGGAGAAAAAAAAAGAGAGAGGAATTCTCTTTTTGGTTAGACGGTTTATTTACATGCTGTAGGTCAGAGTACAAGGAGCAGAAATGTGACTTATTGTCAACCAGCTGTTAAACAGTCATGTTGCTAAATCTTGGCATTTTTTAATGTTTTCAAAGCTAACATGCGTCAACAATTTAAAAGTTGATTTATTGATCACCTCAAATGATCTACTACTGTTAACTTCTCTGTATTATCACACCTTTGGATGAAAAGGTTTAGTGATGTTCTTCTAGTGTGGGCCAGTTCATGACCGATATGTGTTAACGCTAAAATGAATAAAGTGAAAATAGACGACTCTACTGTAAATATTTAAAAGAAAAATTCACACTCACTAAAACTGAGGCCTTCAGTTAATTTACATCAGTTTCAGTGTTTATCTCACCTCCACTCAACTGGATAGAAAGCAGCTGAATTCAATCTATAAATCATATCCATTAACTCTATTAAAGATTTTTTTTTATAAATATGGTATACATTTGGCTTTAACTCTGCACTACATTGTAAACAAACACTTTTCACAGTATAACTAACAGCACAGAGCAGAAAGCTAATACAATGCTTGAGGATGATGTGTGGTCCTGATGCTGGAAGGGAGCAGTGAACGTCTCAATAGGTGCAGGAACATGGCTGACCTTGTGTTTCTTCTTCAAACCAACCCATAAACTTTTCTCTAAACAGACACTTCTGGTTTCCATCCATCCTATAGATAATGGGTCATGCTGCTGTAGATGACGATTATGGGTTTTTCTTTTTTTTAGTGTTCAGGATTCAGTGGTGGACGGATGTCCAGCATTTTTGAGGAGCTGTCCTCTCCCACTACCTCAAGGCGCAGGCTGGGCGAGTTGCGCTCCTCCCGGCCTTCTGATTGGACGGAGAGCCGTAGGGTGCAGCCTTTTGGCAGCAGCTCCTGCTCGTACGCCGCAGCTAGCTGGTTGACAACACGTCGCTCAACCTGAGGGATCAGAAATGAGGTTGAACTAAACACCGCCAAATTAAACATGGTTTAGGGATACAGTATTTCTTAAGCTTTCCATGTGACCCGTCTGGTGGTTTTATTCTTCTTCTTAAAGCTCTTTACTTCCTAATGTTCTCTGACAAACCTCTCAGGCCTTCAAACAAAAGCTGGATTCCTACTGATTGTGTTTTTTCATATTTCTATTAATAAAAAAATTATAATTTTGTTCACTTTTTGTTGATCTAACACATAAAATCCCAGTACAATAAGTTGGTAGTTTTAAAGTGATAAAATCTATATAAGTTGCAGGGATACGAAAACGTAGGTGACGTACCTCATGTTTGATGGAACGTGCTCCATAGTGGAGGTTATATCCACCTGCTAAGAGGTCCAGGACCTGGCGATCCCACTGAAGAGTGATGTCATGGCGCTGCTTAGCCTGATGGAGAGATACAGAGGAGGTAATGTTAGATAAGGATAAGGGAGGGGATCACACCTAAGGTGGATGCACACTGCATTAAAAAAAGAAACAAATCAAAGAGTGAAGGAGCAAACGAGACAAGTGCAGCATCAGAGAATAGATACTGTCAAGCCGCATGTCTGCCAGCGCTAATCAACAGCCCCTTAATGCGCTTTAATCAAACACCAGTCGATAGTAGTGATCAGAGCAGCTCATTTAGCTACTGATGTTAGCACTTCATTCAATAAATAGGACGACATGTTTCATTGCAGATGTATAGTAAAGCAATAACGGCAGCACTAAACATTTAATTCTCCTAATATGAGCGAACGACAAACAAATGGCGATTAGAAGATAATCACATTTCTGATGAAGTGCTGCCAGACTCAAATAAGTTGTTGTGAAAACTAAAATAAAAAAAAAATGAAAAAGCAAGTTTCAGAAGATGAATAGAGTAAATAGATGCATGAATCAGGCTCCAACCGGTCCCCAGTGGGGGCCATGTTGTCAGGACATCAGCTGTAATATTAATAATTAAATATTGATGAAGCCTCCACATGTTAAACACTGTAATCATGTTATAGTGAGTAGCAGAGGCACACAGTATTGATCTGCGCATTTTTTCCTGCACAGCTCAGCGGCTGCAGAGTAAAGTGGGTGAGGCTCCTAGAAGACGACACTAGAACAGAGTAAACAAACCAAGACAAAAAGTTCACAAGTGAAGCAGCAGTTCACTGTCAGAGGTTAAAATAATCATATTTTGTTTCATAAAACATCTTGATGAATAATGAACCAATCCTATAACTATACCAAATGCCAGGTACAGTCATTTAAAAGAAAAATTATGCACATAAGTTTCCTACGTTTTATGTATTTATTACTGTTTTCAAGGCTGCACTTTAAAATATGAATTTATCTAGAGCTGTTTTAAACTAAATGTATTTTTGTTTACACTTGTGCATACAAAATGACAAAATAAACCTGTTTAAGTCTAAGTTTACTTAACCTTTTTGGCCCAGAAGTTGAGCTCTTTGCCGACCAGCTGCAGCAGCTCTGAGTGAGAAAACGGCAGGAAGTACACAATCTCATTGATCCGACCGAGAAACTCGTCCCTCCGGAAATGAGCCTATAATCACAGAGAGAATGATGACAGGTGGTGCGTCTCCAGATCCAGCCGTGGCTGAACTTTGGTCAAAATGAGAGTTTCCGTTCGCACCTTCAGGATGGGCCGAATCACGGATTCCTTGAACTGTTGGGAGATTTTAATGTCATCACTTTTCTGTACATCCTCTGGAAAACAGGAACAAAAAAAACAAACAATAATGATTATTTTTATTCTTGTTAGTATGAAAAAATCAGAATAAATGAGTGGAGTTATATATATTCACAAGACTGTTTAAATCTTAAAGAGCGTTTCTCTCACCAAGGTTGTCGGCCAGCTTCCTCCGACTGACCTCCTCAGCCTCCTGCCTCAGTTGCAAAGCATGCTGGGCAATGTCATCGCTTGCAACATTTGACGTCATGATAAAAATGGCATCCTTACACTCAATGGTCTTTCCTTTGCCGTCTGTGAGACGTCCCTGCAGGGGGGGGGCAGCATTGTAAAAGACAGATCAGCCAGTGGGACCAAAGCTGGGTTTAGAAAGTAAACACCTGTAAAGCGTGTCTTTGTGAGGGGACCTCGTCAAACAGCTGCAGCATGATGGTAAGAACGTCAGGATGAGCCTTATCCACCTCATCAAACAGGACCACAGCGTTGGGGCATGCCTTCAGCAACTTGGTTAGCTGACCGCCTTCCTCATGGCCGACGTAGCCTGGAGGAGAGCCAATAAACTTTGCCACCTGAGAGGAAAGGATGAGAAGAAAAAAGGCTGATCAACCATCATGCAACAAAACTATCTCTTTGGCTTTATACCACCTACGAGTAGAACATCTTCATATTTCTATCACATTACCGACTCCAATGTATTTCATCTCAGTTACAAAAACCTACATAATAGCGAAGCAGAGAACGGTGATTGCTAAAAAGCTGATTTTGTTTGGAAAATGGACTCATTGCCTACTTTTATTTATAATTTATGGTGGGAGAATTGTTGAATATTTTGCATCTGGAGAGATTGAGATTAGGGCTCAGGGTTATTTTTTTTTCATTATTCGTTTCACTGAAAAAACAAAGACACAACCTGGTTTTCAAAATACTTTACAGAAAAAAATCCATGCGGTGTACATTTGTATTCAGTTCTCTCAACATTTTTCCTCACAAATAAAATCATTGCAGATTCAAAAATTGCCAGTTTTTCGTCATATCTTTCCTGCGGTAAAAGCATGTTTTTCAATGAATTCAGGTTGAGCAGCTGCGGGATCATCAACCTCCCTCAACGCTCCCTTTCTTTAGCGGTTTGCTGTACAGGTTGAACGTTGGCTGAAGGAGGAGAACTCCCCCAGACTTTCCCCAACGTTCTTTACCCTTTTCAGAAAGACGCACGCCAGCAACCCCAGAGCACCATGAAGAACAAGTACAACAGCAAGCCATCTAAACTGACAGGCAGGGTAAGGCAAGGGGAGGACCTATGAGAGAGACTGAAGTAATCCAGAGCTCAGGTGGGATAATCTGTTAACAAACGTCAGCCATGCGTAAGATCTGGAATTTACAGAGGATTGGCTTGAAGAAAGACATTAAAGTCCTGATTTTTTTTTTAATCTTGACAGAAACAGAACTGGATGTTGGATATCTACTGAGAATGCAGAATAAATTAACTTCATAAATCTAGAGTGATCGTCTTAAAGTTTCAATGTTAATATTCTCATATTATATAGATCCTTTTTATAAAGCAAAAGTTTTCAAACCTAGCCTTCATCAAATCAAGGCTTTTTTATTGCATCAGATCACAGAGATTTCTAAGGTGTTTAATACTGAATCTGTAGGCTGCACTGAAATGATTAGATGAGTTTTTTTTAACGGTAAACACAACCCAACTCTGAATCCCTGATTAAATGTATCCATCATCAAACCCTCATAAAAAGGCAAAAACAGTTGGAGGATTCATTTTGGTTTATGCATTAATTATGAGTTCATAAACAGAATTAATCCAAAATGTCACCGCCTTAGATGCACTGCAGACAGAAAGCAGAGTTACAGCAATATTATCTGAAATGATCTCCCTTCTCTGAAACCATATAGATGTTCAACAAATTATACACCATAAAAAATAGAATTTTGCATTTGGTTCAATTAAATAATAAAAGGGTTTACCTCGTGTTTTTCCTGGAACTCAGACATGTCCATACGAATGAAACCCTGCAAACACACCACAGTTAGAGAGGAGTCCCGTTTAGTTTTCATCTGAGTTTTTTCACGTTAAGACTGAACTTTCAAGACCCCATGACATTTATTGTCCTCCCAAAATATAAGATACAATCGTTCATTATGAATTTAAGAGATGGAGATTGTGCAGAAGGGTCAGTGTTTGTATACCAGGAAAATTCAGATAAAGAAAAGGATTGGGATAGAAGAAAGGATGCATGAAGAAAGAAAGAAAGACAGAAAGAAAGAAAGAGAGGCGAAAAAGAGAGACGAAAGAAAGAGAGACGAAAGAAAGAAAGACAGAAAGAGACGAAAGAGAGATGAAAGAAAGACAGAAAGAAAGAAAGAAAGAAAGAAAGACAGAGACGAAAGAAAGACGAAAGAAAGAAAGACGAAAGAAAGTAAGACGAAAGAAAGAAAAAAAAGAGTGCAGTTAAGGAAAATGGGACACAATGAAGGAATGAGGACGGGAGAACGTTGGAAAGGAAATAAAAAGGCAGGTATGGAGTCAGGACACCTGGAAAGTAGAAAGGACAGAAGGCAGGAAGAACAGAAAAAGGAACACAAGGAAGTAAGGAAGGAAAAAAGAAACTATGTAAGTTGGAGGAAATAAGGACAGAAAAGAGAAAAGGTGTCTGTAGCGATAAAATCTTAAAACATGATTACTTTCCCATGTCCTTATTTTGTTTCCAAACAGTCAGATCTTTAAAACAGTTTCCAGACAGAGGCGGGAGCCTGGTTGGATGCTTGATGAACATTTGGAGACAAACCTGCTCCCACTCACAGTAAAACACTCGAGTATTCATGTGCAAAAACAACCTACCTTTTTAACGTCCTTGTGCATGTAGCGTGCCACCTGCTTGGCCAACTCCGTCTTTCCTGTCACAAAACAGAGACGTCACTTTTATTCCATCTGCTACAAGAGGAACCTCAGCTGCCATTTTAATTTCTTTGCATTTTACATTAAGAGACTGATTTTCCTCATTGAGACGAAAAGACAATATTTCTCTCTTTGCTAAGTGCTTTGGCCTAAATCCCAACACAAACTCCAATAAAACATTCAATCATCTCTGCTCTCCTGAAGCACACATTATGTTTGTTGGTAAAATATTCTGCATATAAATGCTCATATATGATATTGATGTCTTGTTGTTGGCATGCATGTGTGTGAGGGCTGTGTGGTTTGTGTCTTGTTGCTGTGTTTAATATTGATGTCTCATGGCCAGAGTTTGTCGCTGAAGGGAACAGAGGATATGAACACTGCCTCTCCCTCATCTATCTCTCTGCCTTGTCATTTCATGATCTCTCTCTTTCTTTAGCCATCTATCTGGCCCTTAATATCTCTCTCCCTCTCTCTTCCTGCTGCTAAGTTCACACTACAGGGATTAGAGGATGTTTCATCCAAATCAAGTCTTTTTCTTTTAAAAATATATACTTTAATTTTAAAGCCCCTACTTTCACTCCAAGTATTCTTAAACTCTATGTACCGCAGTGTAGACCTGCAGCAGTAGAAAGGTGGAGCTGTTCTGTGTTCTTGTTTATTCCCAGTGGAGATCATTTCCTCAAACCACGGGCCGCTGTTGATCATCTCCCTCATGACAATAATGTGTTTCAAAGAGCGGTTCTGAATGTGCAATCAGCTGCTTTTCTGACAGCTGGTGTACAAGCGTGCGGCTCATGGGGGCTGTAGCTAACAAAGCCTACAAATGGACGGGACGTTCTGCTGTCGATACTAATCAATTAAAAAAAGAAAAAAGAAAAAGAAAGAGTGCTGAATGGAGATTTTGGCAAACACAACTAGGGACAATGTTTGAGCAGAATTCTCCAGTTAAAAACAAGTAATCAAAGGTAAGATGCATTTAAGGAAATTGGGAACTTTGGATTTCTGATATGCAGCTATAGTGTCTTGCAAAAGTATTTATAACATACAATGGAAAAATGGAAGGATAAGGACACGTCTGTCCTCGACATAAAAAGGTCAAGAGCAGTCTGTCTTAACGGAAAGCCTCTGTACTGATCAAAGATTCCCAGTCTGATTTCAGTTTGGTCACTGGCTCATTTTAACAGATCTAAACCATTCAACTGCTGATATGCTTAGCTATGCTGTCCTGCTGAAAGGTGAGCTTCCCCCAACAGCATAATACTGCCATCACCATGTTGCACAGATGGCAGATGTGTTCAGGATGATATGCAGTGCTAGTTTTCCCCCCAAAAAGTTCAATCATGATGTCATATCTTCCCCAAGTCTGCCATCTCCCCTGCTAACAGAACCTCTTCTGATATTCCTTCAATAATGGCTTTCTACTTGCCTGCCTTCTGTAAAGCTTAGATCTGTAGAGCTTCAGAGAAATGGTTTCCTCTTGCCTACTTTGCTTAATGCTCTCTCTACAGTCTGATCTGTTAAAGAATGGGAGATATGGACGGCCATGTCCTTGTAGGTCTGTTGAGACATACCGGTAACTACAGTACCACTAATATTGAGGGTTATTCTTCAGTTGTGTGATAAATTGAGCAGCTTAAAAGCCAGGATATTCTTTAAGAATATTAACCTCATTCTGCCACTTTATCTTTAGGTGAGGTGATCTTTTTAATGAGGTTATTTCTGAAGGTAGGGGTGTTTTATTTAACTTATTAGAGCAAAGGCATAATACTGATTCATTTGGAGAAAAACATTCATTAAATTCAGTTTTTTTTTTTTTTTTTTTTTTACAGACAAAGAGGAAAATGATAAATAAAAATAAGTAAATAACACTGAGGACACATATTCAAATTCATTATGTGAAATTTTCTTTCAACATCATGTGTATAAACTACTTGGTGTTTGTTTCTCAAAACCCTAAAAAAAAATACTTGGAGATTTTTGGCTGCAATCACAGAAAATATGGAGAATCTAAAGGGTTATAAACATTTTATAGAAATGTGTTATTAGTGGTCAGAATAACTTCAAATGGAAAAGTCTGATTGTTGATGTTTCCTTGACTGGAGAATAATAATCAGCTCCAGAGATGAGTCATTATATTACTTGCAACTCTGCTGTCCTCTCTAATAATTAAACCGTATAGCGTAACGTGGTAAACACTTTGTTTATTCAATACTTGAAACAATTAAATCACAAACACAGCAGCAAAAAAAAAGAGATACTTCAGAGAGAATTATATTTGCTGAACGTAGACCGTTATGCTGTGTGTTTGTAATTCAGTTTTCTTTGTTAATTGATTAATTTCTCTTGAGAACAAGAAGGTCCTCTCTAAATGCATCAACAAATCAAATAAATGTTCCGTTTATTTTAGCTATTATTTAAAGGAGACCGAGGAGCTCCACCCAGCTGTACACAACAACAGATCAAAGCAGGATTTAGGAGAGGTGTGACGAGAATGTACCGATTCCAGATGAGCCAAGGAAAAGGAAGACGAGAGGATGCTCTTCATCGTACCAACCGTTCTCCTTTCTTCTGATGGCTAAAGAGCAGAGAGAAAGAGAGAGAAAAGAAACCATTTATAACATTTGTTTCCTTTTTCTTTCCATCAAGTTCTTTAAGTAGAACCCAGTAACCTGAGGGTGGAAGGATTCCTGAAACTTTAATCAAAGAGTGAAAGATCAGGGATGAGAAAAGGGTCATAGACATCTGAATTGAAAAAAAAGAAGAAGAGAGAGAAAACAGAGCGAGACGTGTGAGCTCCAGAAAGCTACCCACGATGCATCTCTCCTCCCCCCCTCAGTCAGTGGGGCCATTAGCCAGCAGTAATTGTGTTAGCCTCTCTGGCGCGGCCATGGCGAAATCAGTTTAGCATAGATCGCAGCCTCACACACACTCTTGCTTAAAGAGGAGTGCCTACCCTACCCTGCCATCACCCCAGCAACCGAGCCCACATATACACAAAGGCAGGACGATGATGTGGATGGCAGGAGAGTAAAGAGAGTATTTGACTGTGGTTTGAGGCACTCAACAAAGAAACGGACACCAGCACAGGCTCCTCCAAATGTGAACCTGTGATTCAGGATGTTGGTGAGCTCATGAGTGGAACCAGTGGATTGATTGTTAACATAGTTGACTTCAGCAAAAGAACAAAAAAGGACCTATTTGAATTACTGAGTATGAGTCCATCAGCGTTCTATACGCGCCCTGGTTCAGTTAAACCAGATCTGAAGATAACATCGTATATGAACCAGAAATTCCAATAGAGTTATTGATGTAATGTGGCATGTTGGCCTTTTAAGGATGGGAGACATTTGTGTAAATTAGCTTCAGAGTATGGCCACAAGTCCCTTATGAGTTTTAATAACCAAACACAATTCCATAAGAGCAGAATACCATCTCAAAGGCCAATCACCACAGCTGTGTCAATGTGGCCCATATTGGAAAGGACTGCAATTATTTCTTGCTTATGGTGCATTTGGACCAAACCAGTTTCTAATGCCTTAACTTGGACGCCTGTGCATTGTGAGGTGAGACACTCTGGATGCTAGATGCTCCAGTTGTTGAACTGCTCTGTTCTAGAAAGCAGCTTGGCTTGATTTGCTTTGATGAGTTGAAAAAGAATATCTGTAGCATGTTTTTGAGCACAAAAGTCAACCTCACCGTCGTTTGTCTGTCAGTTTATCAGGATTATGATCCTGCTCCGACTGGCAGACTCTCTGTATACCAGGAAGCTCTCTGAAGCCGGCCAGACTGTCAGGGATTTCCAGCTGCCGTTAATCGACTCTGACAGTGAAGTAAAAGTTTTTTTTTATAGATTGGTGGTTAAAACTGCAAGTACAATGATATAAAACCGAATATTTTTCGCTAACATTTTTAGTTAATGTAAGTATTTATAAGCTCTTCTGCCACAGTTCAGCAAGAAATGTTTTAGTGGAGTAATAATGATCAGAGTTCACTCTCTTTTCCTTGTACATAAAAGGAAAAGAGATTATTATTATTTTATTTATTGTTTATATGCTGACAGCACTGCAGAAGTGATCACAGCATCCATGTAGAGTAGGTTTCCCAGAAAACTACTGGATTAGCTATTCTGATTGGTTGACACTCCCTGTCAAGCTGCAAAAACTCAGATTTCTGAACTCAAGTGTTAAATGCTCTGAAGTCCCTAAGTACTGCAGGGTATCTCAATGTCCAATGTAGACTTTGCACGTACAATGAATGATCTGACGTCTAAAGCTCTTTATCTGTCAAAGCACCATTAGAACATTTCTAAAATAGACAGTTATCAGTATGGAGATGTCGTTTTAAAAAGCTAGCTATTAATAAAATATAAAGAACCTCTAATAACAGGTCAGAGAACATGCAGTGACCCTGCAACCCTCCCCCACATGTTGCTGTGCATTGCTTGACTGGCTGAAAGCCAGATTTCTAGAAATACTACCAATGAAAACTATTAAGGAATTGGTTTCAGAACCGCAGTGAGTGAAATAAAAGAGACATGTTTTCCAGTATTGGCTAACAAACCTGCTGCTGTAGCAGATAGTGACTAACATGCCTGTTAAACTTGATTAAAGCTGCTGTCAAACTGTCTCATATCTTCCTATGTAGGCAGGTGTTTTAAAAGACCTATTATGTGAGTAAAGAACAGCTGAATTCTCACTTTTAGTTCCAAGCATCCAGCCTCTTACCATCCTGCATAGAACAGCATGAGACAAGATATTTAACCCTTTTAGAGAAACTAAAAACTGTGGAAAAACAGTTTCCTCAGTTTTTACTTTCAATAGCACTAGCTGTGTGTTTTAAAAGCATAAATGGGGATGGTCTTTTCAGCCATCTATTTTCAAATTCAATACAATATCAAGGAACCTCAGGCATGTTTAAATTTTTCCATTGTATGTAAAAAAAAAAAAAAAAAGTTACCAGTAAAAATAACAGAAGGCAGGCCAGACCTCAAATTAATAACATTTTTGCATCACAGAGGAAAAACCTGATGAGTGAATATTTATCAAAAGCATCAATGATCCTTAACAATATATATATATATATATATATATATATATATATATATATATATATATATAAAAATCATCACTAAGGTTGGGCAATATGCACTTAATATATTATCACGATATTGGGTGACATTATTATGGTAATGATAAAAGTTATGATTAAAAAAAACATTTTACTTCTTTGTGGTCTTTTTCAGGTATGATGACTTACCACAGCCATCATACCCCGACAATCACAAATCATAATCTAGAATATACACATTTAAATTTAGCTTCTTCAGGTTAACATTTACAAAAAAAATATGATGTATCTCTAAACATCTCATACTGTAACAAAAGCATTTAATCGTATTCTTAAAATTTATCAATGCCTCAATGAAAGAAAAATGAACAAAAAAGAAAAAAATTCTTTAAAAAAAAAGCACTTAAAAATCAACAGGGTCCGAATAAAGAAAATCATCAACCAGTAAAGGTCCTGAGACATTTTTAATTATAATCTGTTACTTTAAACAGAATTTAACACTGAAATGGTGTTTATGCATCCATGTTATATGTTGAATTTTTAAATAAATAAAAAAAATTATAAACAAACTAGAACATTTTTCCATTTAAAAATCGAATGTGTTTTTTGAAGTAGAGAACAACAATCTTTCAGTTTGGTATATATACAATTTCCTGACTCACTTTTTTTTTTATAAAACTCCTAAACTGACCTTTTTTTTTCCTTTTCTTTTTTATGATTGAATGAGAGCAGTGGGCTTTATTCTGCCCTGCAAGACTTTAAACCTGGGTTTGAATGGCGACAAAGCCATTCTTAAGCACATATAAAGATGCTCATTTTGACCTTGGATCGATATTTATTTTGGATTATGTTCATGGTGGAGAATCCTGCTTCACAGCAGTAGGTTGAGCCAAACATGCTCTAAATGTGCAGGGTCATCTTTGAGCACACCATTTCACTTTTCTTTCACCAGTTCACCGCAGTTCTTCCAGCAATCCACACTTTCTCTACTTTCTTTTTCCTAATCGTCTCCTTCTTTCCCATCGCCCGGCTTGCCACAGGTTTGCCTGCTGTGTCTAAAAGCAGCTAGCAGCAGCAACCCAGACTGACAGCAGCCCGTTGGCTAATTTGTATCACATGCAGGCTGGTGCTGGACGCTACAAAGGGCTTTACCATATTAACAGGAGAAGCGGTGCAAGTGAGGTTAAGACACTGTCTTTGGACAACACGCAGTAATTTATAAGTATTTTAAATCAGGTTGGGTCTGGATTAGCCAGCAGGTGGGTCCGGATCCGGACACTGGTTCGCTAATCCGTGACCTCTGGTTTAGAGGATAAATCAAAATTATCATCATGACTTGCAACTTATCACGATAACGATAAACGATAAGATAAAAGCCCACCCCTAATTACAACCCAATCAAAGTAAAATATCAAAACATCGGACACTGCATATGTGACATAGGTGCTAAACCAGCTGATAATCGAAGAGGGAATGGAAGGAAGAAGAGGAAGAGGAGAGAGGAAGGAACAGAGATAAGGAGAGGAACGAGGAGTGAAGATGTGGAAGGAGATAAAGGGAAAGACAGAGGAGTGATGGAGATAAGAAGACAGAGAATGAGGCAGAGAAACAAATGAGTGTGTCAGAAATGGACAGAGAGATGAAAAGTGACAAGAGGGGGTGGGGGTCCAAAGCTCTGTCTGCTTTATCAATGGCTGCGTGAATGACAGAGTAACCTTCTGTGTTTTTGTGTGTATTTTAGCTGATTGAGACCGACTTTGACAGAAGGGCACACTGACATTTCTGAGAGGACCGTGACAAGAAGAGGGAAAGGAAAGGGACACAAAACAAATGAGAGCTGGCTCCGACCTGCAACAACACACACACACCAACAGGGCAGTGTGTATTCTGCAGGTCTGGTTGGCCCTAACATGATTACCGAGGGATGATTCTCTTCAATAACTCTTAGCCCTGAGAGCTAAACCTGGATCAATCTAACCTCCTTCCTGTGTGTATTTATGTGGGTTTTGTGTATCTTTACTGTGAGTGTGTGTGTGTGAGTCCTGCTGCAGGCAAGCCGTTTGTCACGAGGAGTTATGGGGGAAACAACTATTTTGAAGACATGACAACACAGCGCACATTTCTTTAATCTCTGGATGTCTGGTCTGCAAAATATTTACAACAGCAATCAGTTCGGCAGACTGTCTGCAGAATTCATTTCCTCGCTCACATGCGGCGGTACAATTAGATGAGCAACGATGAAACAATAACATGATTAATCAATAAGTTGGTATAAAACCATTTATCACCAACTGAACTACAAACTAGGGTTCTTTGGGTAATTTATCAAGAAAAATGCCAATTATTCAACATTTTTTGCTCTGCTCTTTAGTCTTTAAATTATTGCTTTTAACCCTTTAAAATGTAACAGAGGAAATTCTGTTTTTTTAAATTAACTTAAGAGTTATAAGAGGGAAACTGCTGTTCAGCCATAACAGTTTCTTTTGATAACGCAATGTGCCGATTCTTTAAGGTAAATAGAAAAAAGCCTGATCAAAATTTGTCTGGAGACCGATTTGTGTAGAATATTACTTTTGAAATAAGATTTAGTTTTAGGACATCGTTTATCTTCAGAGCGTATTTCAAACAGAAATGTTCATTTGGCAGGTGCGTTCGTAAAACAGTCTATTGTCAGGCTATTTTATTACTCTGTATAACCTGGAAAATTAATAACAAACTGGCAGACTGATCAATAATGGAAAACAAACACTAAAATCTGTTGTCGGATGGTAAACAGCTTACATCTGCAGTTTTTAACGCAGTCCTGTGCCGTTCTTATCTCTACATCCCTACATCCCCTTCCCATTTGTTGTCCTCTTATCAGGATTTTATCCTTCTCTCTTTCCTGAAGCATTTTCTCATCTGGAGATCTCTACTACCCAACATGGACTCTCCCAGAGTTTGATTGATGGTACAGCCTTTGATAGAACTGATTGAAAGCAGCTGACGCAGGTACTAATGTTCACAAGATAATGTGGGACTTTGTACATTTTGTTGAACACAAATTTCCTAAATCAAGGCCTCTTCTTCCTTTGACATTACAGTGTTTTAACTGTGTGAAATCGTTACTGTGTTACAGCATCTCCTTTAAACCCTGAGATTGTTCTTACTTGGAATATAAACATGACTTGATGCTTGTTTTCTCATTTTAAAGCCTAAAAAGTTTGCATATCTATCTTGACTAGCTTTTTTAATTTAGTGTCATCCATTCTAAATGCCTAAGGTTCAACATGATATTGGTCCAACCTTTATAGCTTTAATAGGTTTAATGTTTATAGGAGTTTCTGAACTTTCTTCCAGAAGCACATTTCTGAGGTCATAGATCAATGTTGAAAAGCAGGTCTCAGAGTCCCTTTGTATCTTTGCTTCTTTCTTTATGTCTGCTTCTGTTTGCTTTAACCCCAGTCAGCCTCGGCAGATGGCCACTCACACCGAGCCTGGTTTTGCTGGAGGTTTAATTCCTGCTAAAAGGGAGTTTTTCCTCTCCACTGTCGCTACAAGCATGCTTGGTGTGAGGGATTGCCTTCAATCAATGAGTCGCTGCAATCAACTGGTTTTCCTTCGATAGAAAACTTTGAATCAATTTGACGGTAGGATCTGGTTGAATTGTTTCTGTAATTGTGCCTTGAAATGACATGTGTTGTGAATTGGTGCTATATAAATAAACTAAATTGAATTGAATGAACTAAGCTGCCAAGCCCAGGTGCTGAAAAATAACTCCTCATTACATTATCCAGCTCAGGCCAAACTTTACACTGGACACAAAGCAGACGAAACTGTTCCCCTGGCAACAACCTAACCGACACTCATCCATCAGGTTGCCAGATGATAGACAAGAGTAATTCGTCACTCTGGAGAAGGCGTCTCCACTGCTCTGGAGTCAGGTGGCAGCCTGCTTACATCACTTGACTCGCTTTGCATTGTATCTAAAGATGTATGGCTTGGATTAAACTGCTCTGCCATGGAAACTCATTCCATGAGGCTCCATGCACTACTCCTAAACTAATCTGAAGGTCACTTAGAGTTTGGAGGTCGATTGACTTAACCCATTTAGGCCGGGAAAGCATTACCGCATTTCTACCATTCAAGCCGGGGGCGCTGTTGCGTAATTCTACCATTGACGCCGGGAGAGCATATAAGTCAAGCAAGAAGAAAGAAGTTTTTTTCAAGCAAACATGGAGGAGTTTGACAGAGAAGAGATGTCGGAAGGCAGTGATTTTGAGGAGTGTGTCGGCTTTGATGACGGTATAGATGAAAATGATGACTTTGAACGCGCTGAACCAATCGAACTACCACCGCAATGCACGGAGTGTTTTCAACCGCACACCTGGAGTGAAAGTTGATTTGCCTGCAGACACCACACCGCTGCAGGCATTTGAGCATATTTTTAATGAAGAACTTTGGATGCATCTTGTTACCGAGACGAATAGGTACAGTGACCAAACAAACCAAACTCCAACAAGAGCAAAGATGGCAAAGTGGTCACCCGTGACTGTGACGGAGATGAAGACATTTATTGGGCTGTGTATGGGCATAGGACTTCTTGTGTTGCCGTAGGCTACGAAGAGATTATTAAGTAAGTTGTATGCAATTTATAACACAGACATATGCATTATTATGCATAATAATACTGTTAATAAGTAATCATCAGATAGTTATTTATGTAATGTTTGTTCTTTATTTTAAAAACGTTTTATATTGCACATTCTCAATGAAGACATGATCACATATGGAAAAAATAAAGGTTGAATTTTTTATTTTTTTATTACTGCTTTTCACTTTTTTTTTTTGGAAGAATTTCAAAGATAAAATATATTTTGAGTTCTATCTGCTACAGAAGCTGAGATATCAATAATTTACTAGGCGTTGACACAGTTGCTGAATTTACAGAAAAACTTCAGGTTTTAGGGGTATTTTTTAAAACCGGCCATAGGTTTTTAAGGTGTTTTTTCCAGGCGTTTTAGGCCTAAATGGGTTAAGAGAAAGTTGGTGCCCAGCGCCTTTCAACATCTGCCTGCTGTTCTGTCAGATTACATGGCCTACCACTTTAGGGCCGAGCTGCTGTTGCTCCCAGTGGTTTCTATTGGATGTAGTACCACCGATGAAATATTTAGAAGTGAGGAAATTACACAGCTGGACTTGTTGCACTGGTGGCACCCCATCACAGTACCACCCACTGCAAACAAAACAGTCGATCTGTCTTGATTCTTGATTTTAAACATCTATATGGAGGTAATTAGAACATCAGATTTCAAATATTTAGATTAGTAAAAAAGGCATTTGGCTATTAAGTGTATCAAGAAAATGTATATAAAAACTGGAACTTTCTGACTGCAAGGGTTAAACAATCTTTAAATCTGAACTGAGATAACCAGCTTAAGCTCACCGTGTTCCAAATACAATCATAAGATGATGACCGACTGGTTGTTCAGAAGGCCTCATCGTAAGAAGACCTTTAAAAAAGCTCTGCCATGACAAATGAAAACAGGAGAACTTTGCCAAATCTGGGAATTTAACTGCAACTTTATACTTTAGCCAAATGCAACGAAGGTTGAACTATTGAATAAGAAAAACTAAAATGGAGGAACATTTAAAACAAGCACCTGATGCCCACTGTTAAGTACAGTGGGGGATGTGTATCGCTGGGGCCCTGGGGACCATTATTAGCAAGCATGGGATGGTTAATACTTTGAAGTACTAACTATTGATAATTTAACTAACCAGGTCTGCCTAGTGTTCCTATGGAAAACATGTGGGGTGTTCCAAAGTGTCCTATCAGCAAAGGTATACAAAAAATAAACAGCAAAGATGCAAAAAATGCCTACACACTTGGAAATGAATTCGCTTTAAAATCTTTAATGCTTCTAAGGGATGCAAACAAGTGTAAATGGGACGCTATGTTTTGGGGACCAAAGCTGTAAATGTTATGATATCTTGTTAAGCATTTTCTATAAATTGGAAAACAAATCCATTCAATATCTCATCAAACACTACAAGTCTCATGGTTATCCTGTTCTGAGGCTTATTTCCTCCCCATTACCACTTTACATAAGTTTGTTTTCACCAAAGTTTCAAACAGATGTAAATCTTACTCTCCTGTTAGATATTACCTCTGCAGTATCTATCCTCACTACAGACTAATGTCTCCACCTAGTTTTAGTAATAAGCTCTACACAAATCTAAAAAGAAAATGTACAACATTGTAAAGATAACAAACGGCTCGTCGGTAGGCAGCAGAAGCGTTTCTGAACATTAACTCTCACTCTCTCATCTGCAGATCAATACCCCACATGGCCTCCATGGATGCTCCCTGTAATATCAGCTCTTTACTGTCTTCTGTGTTATTGTGCTCTAACTCATCCAGCCTCCTCCTTTCTCATCACAGCTTCTCGTTCTCCATCGGTTCCAACCGACGGGAAGGCGTTTTTCTTTGCGTCCGTTTTAAATCATCTTCCATCATCCGCGTTCGTTTCTGTCACATGTAGTTTGATGGAGGGTTGGTGCACAGATTTAGAAACCAGTAGAAAAAGAAAAGAAGACTAAAGCAGAGAGCAAGTGAGATGGAAACCAGGACAAGGAGAGAGAGAAAAATAGAAAGCTAAGGGGGGAAAAGAGAGATGAGGAAAGGGGGTAAGCAGAAAGATGGAGGGAGCAGAGAAGGAGGAGGAGTATGGGGTCTGTAGTATGTATCCTCTCTTTCTAATTGTGTTAACTGGCGGCTCCAAGCCTGGCCTCTTCAGCTGTCTCAGTTGCACACAAACACATATACACATGCAACACCTGTGCACATCTGACAGACAGCTCATTCATCACAATTAACCAATTACAGCCTCCGCCAGTCTGTCTAATCCCGCCTACAGCTGCAGGGAAGAGAGGAGAACAGGAGGAACAACAGAGAAGGGTACAAAACACAAACAAGCAGTTTGTTTTCTGTATGCACTCTCTAATATCCCTTTATAATTGTTTCTGTGTGAATGTGTACCTGAAGCCACTGTATTGATGGCCCCTTCCTGACCGATGATGTGCTCCTTCAGCCTCCTCTCCAGGGGAAATCTCCTCCTTTCCTCTGCCTCCCGACGCTCTTGCAGCTCCTTAAACTAAATGGAGACGAAAAGATCAGCTCACAAGAGAGTTAATGAGTCTGAAAGAGGGGGGGGGGGTGTAAGAGACATTGTTGAGGGAAACTTGAAGCTTTCAAACTGAGGGAAAAACACTAAAATAAAGAACTATGACTAATCTTGCTAGTTCTACCCAGGAACACCTTCTGGCTGCAGCTTCTCCCTGCTGCTGTCTTTGATATGTGAAAAGCATAAAGTCTTCTCTGGGATGTAGAACTAAAATGGCGGTTCCTAATTTTTAGACATTTTATTTTACGAGTCAAATATCAGGGCAGTAGCTACAGGTTTTGATACAAGATTATGGACTTTTTTGGTAACAAAAAAACAAAACAAACATAAAGTAATGCAGAAAAGATGCACCTAAAATAAAGTGAATATTTTGCAACATTAAATAATTTTTTTAACAATAAAAATTTGTTTAAGTATTACAAACCTACAATAAATACATAATTAAAAGTTGAATTTATGATTAATTTCCTTTAATTTGCTATAGAGGGAAGGTGAAACAGACAAGTTAACCTGTTATAGGGCCTAAGTTTTAAATCAGAGTAGTTGTTCCTAATCACATGCTCAGTGTTTGTAAAATGTATATATTCCTTATTAAATATTCAAATAAGTTGTACCTATGTCCTTATCAGCCATTTCTTATTCTCCTTCTTTTAACATCTCTATTTTAAAGTCCTGACTCCGCTTTCCTTTTCTACCTGTTTTTTCCTCCATTTGTTGCTTCTTACTTCCTTTGTTTCTCGCAGCCACTCCATGACTCATTTATCCTTCTCTCTTTTTTGTCTCCTTAGACTCCAGCTTTTCCCCCTGCAGTGGAGGGAGGCTGTTTATTCTCTCTTTCCATCTTGCTTAGCTGCAGCCTGCTGTCAAGCTGGTGGATAACTATGGATAACTTGAGTTTTATCGTAAAAAAAAAGAAAGAGATAGAACCTGTTTCCAGTACTACACAGCACTGAAGCTTTAAAACTTTGGACACATGAAGGAACTAAATAAGAGAGGATAAAATATATATAAATTTTTTTTTTATTTTGTAAAGCATTATAACTGTAAATAGCAGATGGGTACTTTTCGGTTTTGCATTTTTTTGTACGGGCATCGGGTCTTAATTTTACTGAATCTTTTGCATTTTAGAAATCAACTATAGTTCAAAGCCATGACAAGTATACAGAAATGTCATAAGCTCACCTTTCATGATATGTTTTACGGAGGGTTTTAAACAGCTAAAAAATCTAATAACACCTATCACTTTCTCCATCTCCAGAGAGCTCTTACTGTGTGAGTGGAGGTCACAAGCAGATACCAACCCCCCGAAAAGGTAGCAAACGGTATGTGGGCTAACATTAAAGCGATCAACTGTTCATGCTTAAAAAATGAGCAGTGTGGATGAAATGTAACAGCTGTACCTGGAGGACTAACTGACTGACAGCTTTACATAGATCAATACAGTGACCAAGCTATACCTTCATGATGTTTGATATTTAGAGTGAAATACTTAGAATGAGCCTGGCTGTTAGATTTCAGCAATTAAACAAAACTGATCAGTAAAACTTTAAAAACAGTTCAAAATATGAAAGGAAACACTGCATGCCTGTATAGCAGGCCAATGCTTATAGCTAGGAGTGAAAATAGGAATTTAAGCAAAGACTGTATTTGGGAATTCTCTATTTGTCTATTTTCAACTTAAAGCTAAAATGTGTAATAATTACAGGGTTTTACTGACAGAAGTATATCATTAGTATATTGTTTTTAGATTTTATTTTATTAAGTCTCATTCTTTACGTTTGCTTTGCCTTAAAAATTCCTATTTGTAATTACACAGGAGTGGGTCTCACATTTAGCTGACAAACTATTGACTGTAGACATCACCATTACGCTCAGATGTAACTACAGCAACAGTAACTTTAGTGCAGGGGTCTTCAACGTTTTCAAAGCCAAGGACCCCCAAACTGATTGCGAGATGGAGCGGAGACCCCCTAATTATATATATTGTATGAAATTGTGTTATATCAAACTGCTCCTATAGTCCCTCTATTACATATAGAGTAATGTAACGAAAGTAATTTCTCCCTGGGATTATTAAAGTATTTCTGATTCCTGGTTGATGGGACAGGTGTTGTGAATGAATCGGTTCCCAGCTTGAAAGAGCTCCTCTGTGTCGCTGAATGTGTGCATTGATGACTGAAAGACATCTTCTGCCTCCATTTATCTGTTTACTACAGTGTGTTGAATTCATGTTAATGTGTATTTAAAGACATTTTAATTAGTGCAAAAAATTGTAGGAGGGAATATAAAAAAAGTAATCAACCAAGACTTTCGTGACCCCCATGCAGTACCTCTGTGGATCCCCTAGGGGTCGCGGACCCCCTGTTGAAGACCTCTGCTTTAGTGCATTTAGCTCTGAGAGCTGTAAATAAAACATTTTAGGGTTGTTTATATCACATAAACCACATAGGTATACCCCAAAATAAATATCCAAATAAATATCTAGGCTACTTCTCTCATGTTTCAAATATTGCCTCGTTGGTTCCACACATACTGCTAGCACCTCTCCCGATTTATGCGCGATTTGTAGGGATTTTTCATGAGATTTGTGTCGCTGCAGTCTGACACTAAAAATCACATACTGTAGCTTTAGCATTTAATAGTCAGGAAATTGTTGCATTGTTGGCTCCGATTAAACTTAGACCGGATCTACAAAATGAGATCAGAACCAGTTCAGCCAAAAAACAGACAAAGCTGTCCACTTTTTCAATCTCTATCAGAACATTATGATGTAAAGACAGTTTAAAAAGTCAACTCCATCTTGATCTAACCTTGGCTCCTAAAATACATACCTAATAATTGCTCAGACAGAAAAACCTAGACCATACTGTACTACAGTTCTGGGTAAAGATGAACTGGAATCTTTACTTTACAAAAAAAAAAAATCATGATCATCAGTGTAAAGCAGAGAGTCTGATCAGTGCATCTCTATAGAAAAAAAGCATTTTTTCTCCCCATCATTGACTCAGCTTTTTTTCCTGCACAGTTGTGACCCCAGTTAACCTCCACCAGCTTCCCAAACTTCAATACTCAATAGCACCTGTCAGTCAGTGACGACAGCGACACGGACCTCCTGAGGGGTGTCTGCCTGTGTGCACCATGTGAAGGAAATGAGACAGATGTCTGTTGAGTGAATAGACCAGAGTGTTTCAGACCAGGATGAAGGACATTTGGAAGAACTAATCATATTCTACCTACACACACATCCTCAGAGCTCATAGCAAGGCTAAGTAAAATGAATCTTTTTGTGTTTGAATTAAAGTGAAGTGTAAGTATACCTTTCCCTCCCACTCCTGCAGCATTGTGCTCACTTCTCCCTCTTTGGCATAGGCCCGTGCTGTGTGTCCCAGGCCATTGGTTTGCAGCGGGTTGGCACCTGTATGCGTTTCAACACACATACATACATTTAGAGTTGATACATAATGATGGTGAAATCAATAACAGGGTCGTTTTATGAAGTGATTTCGCAGTCATGAGCAGTTTTCATCATATCAAAATAATGTAGACACACCACAGCAGGATGCTAAAATGGTCAATGGAAAGAACGAGGAGTGGTGAGAGGTCAAACTAGTTTAATGATTACCGAGGCTTTCTGTGGTGAAACAGAGAGCTCAATAAAGCCTCTGTATGGGGTTTCATATCTGCAACACGTGCCAATATTGCTCCCTATGACCCCCTCTGCCAACACTATGACCAACACGCTGGACTGTTGACAGCAGGATGTTAAACCTCAGCAAGAGGTTAAAGAAAGGGAAATAGCAGTTAAGACTATGAATGCTGACTAAGCATAATGTCACAGCATGTGCATGTATGGTGGTGCTGGATGGAGATGAGTCAGGGGGTTCAAGACTCTCATCTACCAAGAAACCCCTCAACGTTTTCACATTGTGACGAGTTACAGCCACAAACTTCCAGTTATCAGATAAGAATTTTAAACATTTGGGCACTGAAATTTCCCATAAAAAAAGTTTAGCATGTATTTGTGTTCAGCCTCCGCTAAGTTCACACCTTTAAAAGCAGCTTTTATTGGTATTACAAGTAATACATTTGAAAAATGCTGAGATTAGCTTCCTTTTTAAGACTAAAGGGGTTCTTTAAGCAGGAATTCACTAAGCCTGCATTTCAGAATTAAAACCAGTTTTTATTGGTCCATTCTCATTTGCGGTGTTCCCCTTAGTTTTGAAGTTTCTGTAAACACGACATTATGCACAATATCTAAGGCAAATATATCCTCAATTCTCTGTGTGTCCACAGGACTGAGAACAAAGGGAATGGCTGCAAATGCAAAAGGTCACAAAGTGATGAAAGCACAGACTAGAAAGAGCAAAGGAGAAAATATGCATACATAAAAGTTGACATTATCATCATTGCAGTATTTACTGACAATCTTAATTTTTGCCACAGACTCTTGAATTAAATTAGTCTAAAACACATATGATGTAATTTAAATCCATCTGTCTTTGGGTAAACAAAGCTCCACAGTCTTAAAGGTTTCAATTTTGCATTTATTTCCAGTCATTTATTCAACTCTACTTAGAACTTTCTATCTGACCTGTCTGGTGTTTTCTCCTTGGCCTTAATGATGCTGGTTGGTCCTATAATGTTCTCCAACTAACCATAGTAAGCTTTCACAGAAAAGCAAGATTGATACGGAGATCAAATCAAACAAAGGAGAAATCTGTCACTTCTTAGGGTCATTAGTTACATGCAATACTTTTCTTCTAGTTAAATCCTTCTTTGTGTTGATCCATCATATACAATCACAATAAAGTACAGTGATGGTTTGTTTAAGTAATGCAAAACAGTTTAGGGGAATGAATACTATTGCAAGGCAGTGTGTATGCACATATGAATAAGGTTTGATCCGTTTCAGCTGATGAGCATGGACCAGTGTACTTTAAGATGATGACATTTTACAGGAACTAAATGCATTCGATGCAAAACTGAGCTTTGTTTATATTCCTTTATTTATGTACTAACAGAAACCATAAACTGCATTTATCAATACATGTAAACCTGGTGTAAAAGAGGACTCTTAACTTCAACGTTTTAATATCTCTAAAATCAGACAAGAGTAAATTAACCTTACAACATCTAAAACTTTGACACAAGAACTGAGATATCGGTGATACCCGGGTGCGTCTGAATGATTGTGGAAAATTATCATACCCATCCACCAAAGTTATTCCTTAGCACAGACGGGATGTAATCAATGCAGGTAACAGCTGATCTTATTACTCTGAGCCAGGACTACAGAGACTAATAATCATTGGGCCGATTATTGATAAATCCTTAAATTTCACGACTCACTCCCGAAGCTATCGATCCTGACAACAATACACCGCTAACAGTCCCCCAAACAACAAAAACATGAAAGAAGAAAGCAATAAAGTACCCCACACACCACACACACACACTCGACATAATAAATAGCATCATTTAGGGCTTTAATATCAGGCCAACCCTCTGGGCCATAGTACTTTATAACAGGATCAACACCAACACGCACACATACACACCCACAGCCCAGCTGAACATTGCCTCCTTCTCACCGTCACTCACACACACATCCCTTCATTAGGAGTGCTTTAGTTATGCCTATTAGGATGCCCTCCTCTTTCCCATTTCCTCCTCCCTCTCTTTCTCTGCAGCTGGTGGGAGAGAGCCCCTGCTGTTCTTTGTGCATATGTGCTGCCCCTTGTGTCTGTTTCTGTGCAGATCTTCTGGCCTCCTACCACCTACGGAGCTGACCATTACTCAGCTCCCCTGGCCGGAGGCCTGATTTTGAACCGGGGGAGAAGATGGAGAGCTGCCGCAGGTAGGGTGGGGCGACTGCGGGACGCGGTGAAGCCTGAGGGTCGGCCTGGAGACTGTGATGGATGAAGATGTGAGCAGAGGTCCAGCTTAGGCCAAAAGAGCAAACGTGTAGCAGGAAGAGTAAGGTGGGTGCACTCAAACACAGGGGAAATAAGAAGCTAAAGGAAAGAACGACACTAACACACAGCGTTTCAAGAGGAAGACAAATAAGAGAAGCTAATGACACTTCCACCCAAAGCAGTCGCCAACAACTTTTTTTATGGCATGGTGCAAAACTAAGAAGGTAGAGAGGTAAATAACGGAAGTGGAAAAGATGAAAAGACCTCAGAAAGGGTGTAAGGTTTGTCAAAAATGATTAACACACATCAGAGGCTAATACCTCATAAAAGTCTCCAGTTTTGCATACATTTGCACAGGATGACAGCGACCGGGGCGATTGAAAGCGCTTTGACTGTAATTGGCCTCGATGGTGGCGCCAAGCCAGCGAAAAGGCCCCCGTCGGCCGGGCAACAACCAAATCTGTCATTAATCTGATTGTCTTAAAACAAATGTCTCTGCTTCGTGAAATTTCTTACCTTTTTAATTCAAAAAATGTTTCTGCGGGACATTTGATCTAGTTAGATGAAGTGATTTGTTTAAGCGTAGTCCTAGATGTGAGGTCGAGACGGGAGCACAGAGCTTTAGATGCACCATCAATCATAAACATAAGCCAGACATTAATACAGGCTTTTTATGTGGATTTTGGGTGTTTTGTCCAGAAAGGAATGTTATTTTATTAAAGATGCAATCAGCCTAAAAAGAAGCAACTGTGAGTCGTCTCCAAGCCGCACGACAGATATTAGAAAGAAATCACAGAATGTATGAATACATCAGTATGTTAATCAAATACAAGTGCAAGAGTACTGAATACATGGTATATATAATATTGCTTCATGTAAAAACACTTCCTGCAGTTGTCTAGATACCCCAAGGGCATGTTCTGAATGCCGGGTGGGTGGGAGGGAGGGGGGTGTCACAGTTCAACTAGGCCTAGCTTGTTTAAGAACAGCTCTGCTGGAAACTGAGCAAGATACGCTGCCCTCAGGGTGTGTGTGAGTGTGTGCGCTGGTGGAGCTGAGTCAACGACAGGTGTAATGGGGGCTGGGGAAGACGAACAAATAATGCACTTTAGATGAGTGATGTAAACCTTTTTATATCAACTATAGCAACCGATACATATCTCCGTACATTACCCTTTTCCATGATTCACAGTCCATCTTTCCTTTCACATAAATAAGATCACTTTAAAAGTTTTTTTTTTTTTTTAAGGGACAGGAATATTTCTAAACAGAAGGACAACTTAAAGAGATTTTGAATTAGCAAACCCAAAACAAACAGCTCAGAGGATCCCTTTATTTTGGCCTTTATTCCCAGGGAAGCAGAACATCTTCCATCAAATTTCCTATTCAATAATTTCTACATATATTTTTCCATAAAGAGAAAAAAGTTATGGATACTGTACCCTTTGTCGTAGTAAATTGATATGTTCATTGTAAAAATGGAGCTTTAATTGACCAGCTTTACAAATAGTAATGGACTTTTTTTTTCCTTGCATTTTGAAGAACCACACACTTTATTGTATTTTACTGGCTAGAATGCTGGTTCATAGTTATTAAATGGAAGAGAACATTTCCTTATGACGCGCATTTATAAACCAGCTGTCTGCATACATAGAACCTTCCTGTTGCAGCTGGGAGTCTTTTGAAGTTGTTTCTAGCAGCTCTGCTTATCTACAGGCTCATGTTTTTCCCTATTTGTTAAAGAGGATCAGGGAAAATCAATTTTCAAGACTTGCCAAAAAAAAGAAAAGAAAAAAAAAAGTCCTGTTTTCAGGCTATAAAGAAAGATATGTTCTTAATCCTAGCCATATCTACAGCATGATGCTACCAATGTCATGTCTTAAAGTCGAAAGGGAAACAGCCATTCTCCCGAGTGGTGCCCGATTTTACACGAGTGAATAACGTGAAAGAGATTGGTCGTTTATCAAAGGGTTGGGATTGTTGTGGCGGAAGGTTCACAAGCAGGTTTGATTGTGACCGGTTTCTTCTAAGCATCTTGCTAACCAGTTAGCAACTTATAGCTAGTACGTTCCCAAAGGGAAATTACATTGGGACCAAGTAGCACTAAATTGGTTGACTTAGCAATGACACTGTCAAGGAAAGCTATGGTCAGCGGAAACATGCAAGAGGAGGAGAGTTTTGTGTCTGAGGTCGTGGATGAGTCTCCTCCGTCATACATTTTTTATTTAGAGGAGGAAAGCGGGGATGAAGTTGTTGTGGAAGAGAACGCCAGGGCGGCAGAAGCTTGGTTTAGTGTAGAAGGCTTACAGCCGTACATGTTTGAGCCCTTGCCTCACAACGCTGCCAGTTCGGTTAGCCCTACGCCTGCCGAAGACACAGACGTCCATCTCCGTGAACACTGGGATGGCACTCAATGGTAAATGATTCTTATTTCTTATTTCAACCGTTGCGTATATTAGCTGCGACATATGAAAGACCGAAAAAATTTGATTGACAGATGACCTTTGATATATGATTTGCCGAATTTAGGTGTAAAAGCTGATGTATAACTAACTGGCCTGCATAAAATAACGAGAAAAAAAACAACAACTGATTTTTAGACAGGATTTTTTATAAATAGAAATTTTCTAAATTTTGAGACAATATGGTCTGATAAAGAGCACATTTATATATATAAGCCAGAATGAGTTGACATTTAAATTTGATTTCCCTACGACTTTAAAAAAAGATTGCAAAGCTATAGAATGTGTCTGAATGTCTGCCCTAAAAACTATATAGGGCACTATATAGTGGTTACGCAATTTTAGATGACTGTCCGAACATCTAGTGGTTAAAGAAGTAGTGGACTCAAAATTTCCCACAATTCACCTTGAAAAGTAGTGATCATCAGTAGTTAGCAGATATATCCCAGTTTGCTTTGCGAGCTGTTCTCGCAAAGCATGATGGGATTTGTTGTAGCGTTGACAAATAAAGATGGCGCAGGCACTGTGTGGGGATGCGGAGTTACGTGACCAACAGGGAGCGAAAAGTAGTGATCATCTGACAGAACGATTATTTGGGGCATTTTTACAAATAATCCTATTAAAAGCACTTCTGTCTGTGGGATTTTGATGTTTTTTTTTTTTGCTCTCTCAGGGAAGGGATTAGAGATTAGGTGCAACAACGTACCAGCCTCCAGAAGCATGCGGACAGCCAGTGGGTCATCTGCCAATGTGGCGTAGTGAAGAGCAGTGCAGCCACGGAAACCAGCCCTGCTGCTGAGCCTGCTGCTGAATTCATCCTCTCTGGACACCAGAACTGTAAAATAAAAAAACAGAAACAGGTACAGAGAAGAGAAAGGTGAAGAGAATGAATCTAAGGGAACTTTTTTTTTTAGATCAAACTCTGTTAAAAGTTAATCCTCTTTCCCAAATTTTAGCTCAACCATCTACCATCACAGCATAGTCCAGGATTCGTGTTTTGAAGTCTCTTGCTCTGTTCTTCTGTAATAATGGAGACGCTTTATCACCCTCTCCTTAGTTGTGTTTCATAAAAACACTCATCTTGTGCCCCTATTCTATCATCCATTTTTATTTTCTCTGTCTCTTTCCTCTCCTTCTGTGTCCATCAAACTCTTTCATCACCGGGACCCTCTTCCCTCCTCCTCCCTATAACTTGGCCACATCTATCTCCAGAGTTTCTCTCCGCTCCTCGTTTCATCTCCCACCCAGTCCCTTCAGCCCCTCCTTTCCTCCAGAACCCCTAAACATCCATATCTTCCTACTCCTCCATCTTTAACCTTCTTTCCATCCTTATTCTTTCAGTGCCTTCCTCTCTCTCTCCTTCCTAGCTTCATCAGTCTTTCCCATCCTCTCCGATACTCTCCTTCTGCAGTGTGTGCGTGAAACACAGGGTGGGATAATCATGGCTAACCCAATAAAGCGTCGCACAGACCCCCCTAGCCCATCCATCAGTGAGCGTCTGGGAAACGCTTCCCCACGCTGCGCCGGCCCCACGTGGACCCAAACCTGACAGCCATATAAATGTCTGCAATATACATATCCCGTATAAATATGTCTGCGAAACCCAAAGCAGACTGGGATGGTGGGGGGGAAACTGTCGGTGCTTATGTGTGTGCACCCTCATGAATGCATTTGTGTGAGTAACTGTGTAGCTCGGTACAAAAAAACAAATAAAAATACATTAGTTGTCACTGAATATGTAAAAATAAATAATACAGAAGGAATCGAACATGTGCATAAATGTAAAATCGTATGCAAATGATTATGTCTCATAATATCTGCAGGTTAACATGTGTAATAAAACAAGGAAACAGACACCAGGGAGGCAGCTGTTAAGTTTCCCCACCTTCCAGAGAGTGGATGCCTTTCTCCCTAGAGGTGTCATAAACATTGTTGAAGTCATCTCCTGCATTCGGGTCGGCACCGGCTTCAAGAAGAACCTTCACCGCACTGGAAAAGAGCAGAACGACAGACTAATTTCCTTCCTTTAGTTTAAAGAAAGGGACTCCTTTAGGGAGTCCCTTTCTTTAAACCGTACAGATAAAGTTAGCTAAAGCTACAGACTTTTTTTAGCCCACATGTCCAATTTTTACCTGAGAGACATTATAAGTCAGACTAGTTTGCCCCTTTCTGATCAACTCCACTAACCTTTATATCTCGTTCAAAGATCAGCAGACATCATATTGGACCGTTTTCCAGTCATATTTGGAAGGTAAAGATGTATTTTTCCTTCCTCTTTTTTAACTTCTCCGCAAACACATCATGTTTGGATACAACCGTTAATCTATGTTGGCTTATTTAAAATCAATCACATCAGAGCAGATTTTGCATTTTCTAATGAAAAAACAGACCATCATTCCATTAAAAATTAACGGTTTGTGTGTGTGCGCGCATATTTTTTCAGCTTATGGATAATATCCTTTTTAAAGTAAATACGTTATTATGCGTATTATATAGGGTATTTGGTGTTGGTCCTTAAGGTCTCTGAATAGGGTGTCTAATATTGGTTGGGCTGAAAATGGCATATTTGCTGTTCTATGAGCCCTAATGCAAGCCTGGTTATAAGCCCTAGAATTAAACAACAGGTTTTCTTCCTTTTATGGTATGATCATGAATATTTTGATGAGCTGTGCGCTGATTGATTGGTTTTATAACGAGCGAAGTTGCTGAGCAAAGGCGCATCATAGCAACAAGCACTCACTCACTCACTGAAACATTTAATTGTCGGACGACTGCAGTTCAACAAAACCGAGCCGTGAGCTCCGGCGCTGGTTGAGACTGGGGACGGAGCGACCGAACCCAACCCGGTGACGGTAGTCCGGACAAAGGCAGCCCCGGTAAGGCAGGCGGGGGGAAGCATACCATCACTGGGTCGGGTTCGGTCGCTCCGTCCCCGGCCGCCTGGGTTCCATGCCTGTAGAGTCTTAGGATCCTTGGGAAGACTGTGAAAATGTTCCCATTTCTCCCTGGAACACTGCATTTACCCCCGTGTTTCTGGCTAATTTTCAATAGAGAAACTGCCTGCTTAGTAATTCTTGTAGAAGTAAACCCAACATCCAGTGAGCTGGTCTGTATGTCAATTTTGGTGCGTGATAAAAGTACAGGCCAGAACCAAATAAGGCAACATCCCCGAGTTGACGTCAATTCAGTGCTTTCTTTGAATTCACTTGTTTTTTAGTCAAATTATCTAATTGTAAGATTTGCAGAGTTTGAACTTCTCTGTACGTCAGTTTCGCCGACTGAACTATCATTATTCATCTATGACAATGTAAACTCGGTTTTGCATTCTATGACCCCTTTAAAAATAATTGTATAATTAGCATGATACTATTGTATTTATGTTTCAGGTTATCATAACTAGCTCTCTACACCTGGACCTAACCGCAAGAAATGAAATTATACATTCATCAACTAAAAAAAAATAAATAGTACATCAAAACATATTATTGTTTTCACTCTTTCAGGTCTTTTAAATATCTCAACTCAGCTAGCAGCCAAATACTGAAGCTTACAGACGCTAAATGTGAGATTCTAACAGAGTGAATCATATTTAACAGAATCTAAATCAGTGCTTTAATCAACGGGTCAGTGATTGACCTGATCTAAACACAGTTTTCTGCCATTATTCAGCTACTCACCGTCTTCAAACACAGTAGTAGCTGCTTTATACATTTGTAGTTCCAAACACATTCTTATGCAATAAGCTGAGGCATATTCTTTGAACAGATGGTTGCCTGAACTCATCTGAGACATCTTCTATTCCATATATTGGGTTTCTACCAATATGCTTTACCTTTTTATTGCTTTCTAAAGTCTTAAAGACAGATGCACAAACAAATGCATCAGCTGACCATCACACTTGCAACTGATTCCCTTCCATCCATTATGTCTCTTCATAGCGGTCTCACTCCAATGGCTTCTTCCCTCTCTTTTCCTTTTCAATTCACATTTGTATGTCTTTTAACACGTACATATGTGCAGAGTGAGGGGCCAAGGGTCGGACCAGTTTCCGGCACTAATGGGGGGGCCTGTGTGATGAGGTGGGTATATATATGTAGCCCTTCACTGGAGCGTACCGCCTTTTAGAGCAAACACAACAACCTCGGCAACACCACTGACTGTGACCTAGCGGAAATTTCAGGTACCATCTCTCTGTCTGTTCTCACTTTTGTTCACTACCGTGAACATGGGTGTTGGCTTTGACCCTGAGACACATCAACACACAAAAACAAAAAACTGTTTTCTGAATGTGCTTCCAACTCATCTCCGAAATGTATTATAGAAGCAAGCAAAAACGAAGGGAAGGAGGCAAAGAGTGTAAAAAGGAATGATGGGGGAATAGAAGGTTTTTCCAAACTTATCCAGATATTTTAATTAAATCTACACCTTCCCAAACAGAGTAGTCATATTTAAATGTTAAATCATTCTGGCTTAAACATTTATATAAATGTACTCTCCATCAGACCATATTGTCTCAAAATTTAGAAAATTTCTATTTGAAAAAAAACCCTGTCTTAAAATCTGCACTGTTTTTTTCGTTATCTTATCCAGGCCAGTTAGTTATACGTCAGCTTGTACACCTAAATTCGGCCAATCATATATCACCGGTCATCTGTCAATCAAATTTTTTTCGGTCATAGCATCTTGATTCATACGTCGCAGCTAATATACGCAACGGCTGAAATAAGAATAATTATTTACTTTACCAATCAGTTCCATCCCAGTGTTAATTTGGAATGGACGTCTGTGTCTTCAGCAGGCGTAGACCTAACAGAACTGGCAGCGCTGCGAGGCAAGGGCTCAAACATGTACGGCTGTAAGCCTTCTACACCAAAACAAGCTTCTGCTGCCCTGGCGTCCTCTTCCACAACAACTTCGTCCCTGCTTTCCTCCTCTAAATAAAAAATGTACGACGTAGGAGACTCATCCACGACCTCCGACACAAAACTCTCCTCTTCTTGCATGTTTCCGCTGTCCATAGTGTTCCTTGACAGCGTCATTGCTAAGTGCTACTTGGCCCCAATGTAATTTCCATTGGGAACCTACTAGCACCAAGTTGCTAACTGGTTAGCAAGATGCTTCCGAGAAACCTGCGACAATCAAACTAGCTTGCGAATCTTCCGCCACAACAATCCTGCCCCCTTGATAATCGACCAATCACATTCACTTTATTCACTCGTGTAAAGTCGCGCAACACTCGGAATTCGGAAATGCAACAGTTGGAGCAGCCACTTCCCTACAACTTTAATAAGAAATAAAACACTTAGCTCTGACCTTGAGGGCCTTAAATTAGGAAGAGAAGGCAAATTTTATTTAGATCCTATAATGATTTTTTTTTTAATTAGAAAAGAACTAATAGGAGAGGGCCCTGAAGCCTATATGTGCAGCTCTTGAACTTACCTGATATAATACAAGGTGAATACATTGAAATATATTATTTTAATTTCCCTATGAAACTAATCATAAGAAGGTTCCAGGTCCAAACTTTAGTAATAGTTGTGAAGTCAAGTGTGGGAGTATTTTCTTATTATTTACTTTTCTGTTTTTTACTTTTATTGTTTGTTTGAAATAAGGTATTATGAAATGAAATTGTGATAGATTATAGGTTATAATGGCCGAAGAAACACAAGGAATCTGGTTAGGGACTTTCCGATATTCTGATTTTCCTTAAATAAAGTAGCTACTTTTTGTTATTTGTACTGCAGTGTAAAAACTACAGATCATGCAGGCAGATGTGGATGTGAACATTTGGACAGATCTGTGTGTCTGCCATGGCTAAAGACCTATATAAGGACTAGCAAGAGTCTCCTTTTGTTACTGTATCAATGTTGCTTGGGGTGGGGTAAGGTGGGGAAGGGGGGCATGACCCACAGGCGGTGACTCTCGCACCCTTGCAAGCACTTCTACAAACACGGCAAAGACGACTTTTGGCCACACAATCTCAAACCAAGTTTGGTCACACGAGGGTGGGCAGGACTGTGTGAAGAGAGGAGCGAGTCTGAAAAGGTTTAATGATATAAGAAAGGTAAACAACCGGGGAGGATAAAGAGAGGAAAACTCCAGAGAAGGATGAGAAGGAGGGCATGAAAGGAGGAAAAAAATGCTAAAAAGAAGAAAAGGAAGGAGATTTAATTAAGCAGGACAGCGGTAAAACTAATGAGCTTTTAAAAGCAGTTTATAGTTTTACTAATCAACTGATGAGCAAGTGTCCAAGTTTATTAGGACAATCAGCAGAGGAGTAACAGCAGTGCTTTGAAGCCAAACTAAAGATATAGAGCCATTAATGAGGTTAAACTCCTTTTTTAAAGGATATTCTTTTACAATTAGTCAAACGGTATTGGAAAGAATCAGTCTTTTGTTAGAAATTTACATTTATTAGACATTTTACATTTTAAAGATCTTTGAAGTCCAAGAATAACAGGTCTGTAAACTAAAACGTTTGCCTGATCATTTGTTATGCAAAGCCACTTTTGTGCATTTGTGTTATCTTTTCTCTGTGGGAAAGAAACAAGAGGAGAGTAACTGGCATGTTGCAATAGTATTTGTCGCTGTGCATCATGATGATCAGTTACTACTCCAACAATGTAAGCGTGCCTACATCAAACACCAACAAAACAATTAATGTGTGCAGGGGGTCCGACTAATAGATTTGACTCGGAGGAACCAAAGGAGTGAGCCGTGATTGAGATTTCAAGATGATTAGAATAATTAGAGACGTGACTTAGATTTGTGCCCTAAATACTACAGATCTAACTTGGACTCCTGCTCTGAGACTCCAGTTTTTATTACAATGTAATAAAGAGTGAAAGGAGGCCGTATGTGAGCTGCAGACTGCGGCTGTTCTTCTGTTTCTTAGCTAAGGAATGTTGGTGAAAAATCGCAGGGATGAGAGACACCTGAAGGTGTTTCAACTAATAAACATGACTTACCTCCAGCACATCTAACGTTAGGCTAGCTGCACATTCTGGCAGAAAATATAAAAATAAAATCGTCTTCCATTTACATTTTAACACTTGTTTATTTACTTACTATACAGTATCTCTTGCATTATGTTCAGTATTAATAGTTAAGAACTAAATTATAAATGAATGTTTAGAAAATGGTTCCCCTAATATTAAATTCTCTCTTTTTTATGTGAGAGCAAAGTGTTAACTTATAAGCTAAAAAAAAAAAACCAAACAACTTTGCCAACAGATATCCCTTTCTATTATTTTGTATAAGGATAAAGAGCTTTTTAGCCTTTTTTCAAATGTGGAAAAATTACATTTGAGTGTTTGTGAAAATAATATAAAATCAGGCTCAAGCAGATTTTAAATGGTAATAAAAGGTTAGATGATTAAAATATTAGTAAGATTAATTTCCTAAACACTGAGATTATTAAAAGTCTTGTCATGATTTAGGGCAAAGGACAAATGGTACAGTTTTAGTAGAATTCTAACTTTTATTATTCTGTTTAATTAAACATTTATTTATACAGGTAGCCTCACATAACTGAAATATGTTTTCATTTAAAAAATAGACTAAATAACCTAGAGTGATGCAGAGATGGATTAAATGTCATCAATTCAATGGTAAAATATAATGATTTTTATGTAATTAGAAACAAAATATTATAAGTTCAGTCTTCAGTTAAAATTTCCTTTCAATAATTTTATAATTTTTCAATAGAACTTATTTTAAACAGTCATGATAAAGCTGTTTTATGATTTGTGTTGCCTTTATGCTTCTTCTTCTCTCTTACAGCACTTTGAATCATGCTCCTGGAATTTTTTAAACCATTAAACTTGCCTTGATCTGGACTTAGGATAAGAATTTGAAACTGGACTGACACAGAAAATGGCTCGGACTTAAAAGCCAAGGAAAGCTTTAATAAAAAGTGTTGGAATTTCATTTTCACTCTGAAGAAACTGAGCAAACTGAGCCAAACATAAACACACTATGAATAAGGCTCGGGCACAGCGCGTTGCATTCTGGGTACGCCGCCATATTGGTAGCTAGTTGGTAGCTAGTTGCTACGGTAAACAAAGACCTAAAACAGCATAGAGACAGAGCAGAAAGACGAGTAAACAGCGATGTTAAAAGCGAAGAAAGGATGCGGAATATACCGAGACACACTGCAGACCGTTATCTGCAAAAGATGGGCTTCATAAACGGACTTGATCCCTACGAAGTAGAAAGCAAGGAGTGGTGCGTTGGGGAAGAATTTCTACCGCCGTTTGCGAGGGAGGACGTATTTTCGTATCTAGTGTGTGGCGTCAGTGCCTACACACATGAAGAGTTTCGCTGCTACAAGTCGCTAGAGGCTTACAAACAGCTGACAGATGGAAAAGTTCATGACATGGAAGTTATCAAGCCGAATGAGAACACAGTCATCAGAGCCAAGGTAAGCTACCGTCTCAACATGGTGTGGTGTTTGTTGTGGTGATAAGACTAGGTGCTGGCACTAACGTAAAACATCAAAAATGTATCTAAATAAATCTTGTGCTGACTGTACGTGTCCAGGGATAATGTAGTTAAATTCTGATGATATATGACTGTCCTAGCATGGTACTACCACGCAGGGGCGGAGATAGATGAATAAAAAAGTATGTTCTGTAACTTACCAGAATAAAAATGCTGGGAACACACTCTCATGGACACAGGGATTGAGTTGAAAGTTATATTTGGCCGTCTTACAGCAGCGACCCATGCTAGCCGGCGACTCTTTGTTATGGAGGACATTTGTTTTCCATTGAGACGCCTCCAGGTTGGAAAACGGTAAAAAGACAATCCATTTGGGATTTTTTTCCCCGTCCAGTCACAGCTTGCGCTACTACACCCTACGACACAGCAACGGGCGACCATAACGACAGCAGAGGTAAAATGAAACGGCAAAAAACTAAGCAAACTACTAGCAGAAGAAAGCTAGTCCTTACAGGCGCGAAGTCAAAGTGTAAACAGTGGGCTGACCAGCTATCAATATGTCTGCCGCGCAACGTGTGACGTCATGTGCCCGAGCCTTATAACATACAGAGACACACTTATTACCCGTCCATTGCTGTCACACATGCAGTGTGACACACATTGCCCACCCATGTCTGTTAAATCATCTATATCCAATATAATAGATTATAATCTGGTTGAGTTGTTTCTGTAAACTGCCTGGAGATGATGTATTATGATTTGGCGCAACATAAATAAACTTAATTGAATGGAAACTGAATAAAAACCCACCCTAAACATCAGTGCTAACCAACTAAAAAAACCTAAACTAGACTAGAAACATTTCTATGAGCTACAGAGGTTAGCATAACGCTCTTCAGTAGCCTCTATCATCTTCCTACCAGCAGGTGAGAGGCACGTAGAGGATGGTGTTAGTTTGTCATCCAGCCCTGGAGGAACCCAGGAAACAAAGACTTCCGCCTCCCTTGTTCGATAAAAAGACACCTGAGCTGAACTGACCATCCATGTCTGACACCACCTGGACCAGACGCCCGACCTCACTTGACCCCAACCTCACCTAATTCACACCTGGGGTCAGAGAGAAGGCAGACTAAAAAGGTTTCTACTCACTGTATTACTAAAATTAGCCGATCAATAATATTCTTGTGACATTAAAACCATCTTTAAATAGTATTACTATGAGCTAATGAAAATAAAGTAATCGTAGATACATTTGGAGAGATATTCCATATATGGAGGCTGATTATATCATAGCAGCTAATCCTTTAATCCCTCTCTATCCTCCCAAACCCACTCATTCCCCTAGTCCTCTGCTTTGGGTCGTTTCTATCCCACTCCCACCCATCCAGTCGTCTAGTGGGCTGGGATGGTCAACAGGCGTTACACTTGGATAAGCCCTCATTGTGCACGTGAATGCAGCTAGGGAGGGATGAAGGGAGAAAAAGAGAAATGGAGATGTGCATTGTGTGTTAAAGAGTGCAAACAGAAGTCCTCCCCGATTTAACCCTACATCAAAGTTAAGCAAACGCCCACACACACCCCCCAAATCCAACCTTAACTCCACCACGACTTCCTCCCAGAGCCACGCCTAAACGTCTGGATGGAAGGCTGCGTTTTAGATTCCACACGCACCAAGATTTTAATCATCCTTTAAAACCTGCACATCTTTATTTACAAATCCCACTTCTGGACCAAGAAAAAAAAAACAAAAGACAAATATTGCAAGAAAACTACGGAGTAACTCAAGAATGAAATCCAAACTGACATTCTCGCTACAGGCTAGACCTTGTTCATGACTAATGTTCCCACTGTTTTCACTTAACAGCTGCAAATAAAGTTGTGTGCGGCTGAGTAATAGGCAGTTGGCCTGTAAGATATTTGGTATAACCTCCCCTTGTTTCCTTGCTCATGTGTGGATGTTGTGTGAGCGCACACAAAGTGTGTGTTTGGGAGCTGGATATGAGTGATGCGTAAGGACCAATGTTCTGTCTTCCCTGCAGCAGTGACGGCACACTGGGGGGTTGGAGGACTGGATTAAACACAGAGGAGTGTCTGTCTTGCTGAGTTATAGCACTCATAACACAAACACACACACTTCAGTGGCACACAGACAGCGGGTGGAGGGACACAAACAATCAAACGTATATCCAAAAACATTAGACAAACCGAGAGACACATCATTAAACAAAAAGTCACAATCAATCAACACGTTAATCCAGAGACGATCAGCAAGAACTCGGCTTCCAGCACCATTTGCTCCAGGAGAGTCAATCCTTTTTCCCCCTAAAATAAAGAATCTGATTGGGTTGATAAGTGGAGGACATACAACTGGATGAATGGGTAAAAATGATAGATTTAAAAATGGATGGAGAGACGGCCACCTGGCAGAACAAACGGGTGGATAACAGACTAACTAGCTGGACAAAGCAGACTGGCGAACGAGCAGAAAGCCAATGGATGAACAAGTTCAGTATTGTCCCTTTGGAGCCATTTTCATATTTAGATTTCACACAATACTTCTCTCTCATGGAAACGCTTTAACCAGTAATGTGGCCTCAGAGTCCTGATGGAGCAAAGAAAGAAAGAAAGCCTGGGTTAAATTGGATTTGGCCCGGTCTTAACCTCAGCCCCTCTCTGTGTTATGTGTCTTCTGTGGGCCAGGAGGCTAATTGAATTATTAGGGGAGCGGGATGGGGTGGGGTACGGGTAAATGCCGTCTGTCAGTCTGGAAGTTGCACTTTGTCACTTTCTGAAGATGTAACAGTAAGAACTGTGGCAGGAACACGGGTGACATATGTTCGCTCTCTTAACCGGTGCCGGCAGCTGTCCGACACAAAAACCCTACATCACTCTAACATGCGCAAACAAGAGGGCAGTGGGGTCGGGAGTTTTAGGACGCACGACTGGTTTGGGAAGTTAAGGAGGGCAGAAACGGTCTCAGACCTGTGCTGTCTGTTCATCGCAGCCACCATGAGAGCCGTCCACCCCAGGCGGTGGCGCTGGTTTGGATCCACGCCTTCTTTTATTAGCCTGAGGGGAAGAAACAGAAGGAAACAGATTTGTTAAGCTTTCATACAGTTGGAGATTGTAGAAGACAGCAGACACAGAAAATAACACCAACTCTTCCACTATGAAAAAAGGCCTATTCTTGACTAGTTAATACATCTATAACTAAGCCAGGTGTGTGTTTGGGGTGGGGGGTGGGGATTGTGCCTCAGGGTACACCATCAGGTAATGAAGGCCACTGTCCTGTTAGTGTCTGTGAAAAGAATCCTCCTTCCACCTCTGGTGCCGATCAGACAGGCAGTGTCGGTGTTTACAGTCAACACTGTGGCCCCTATGTGCTCTGCTCTCAGCTCCGATTCACTCCGGCTCCGTTTTCCCTGCCTGTTCTGCATCAGGTAGCAGGGCGAGGGAATCGGATCCAGTGGTCCGACGCTGCAGCTGCAGGTTGGCCTTATAGAGCAAACCAGCTGTTTGGGATCAGATGAAGTGCACCGCGCCTTAAAGCTAAAGACAGGAAAACGATCTAGAAAAATATTTTTTTTTCCCTGAATGCCCAATTAGATCAACTTTTTAAAGCCAAATCTATTTTACATCATTACTGTTTTTCCATATTTCACCATTATATTGTGATCAAATTGAATTTTCCACAACGGATGGATGGATGGACAGTCAATGGGGCTAAAAGAGAATAACGCTTAGAGAACCAATCATGTTTCATGCTGTTTTTATTTTCTAAATAAAGATTAATCAAGATTGATAAAATTGTTCAATTAAATCTTATATTTTCCCACACCTACTATAAAATTGTTTAACCAGGTTAGACTCCTCTGGAGGAATCATGCTGTCCATGTCATACCAGAACATGTCAGTAACACCAAGAGTAAACAAAAATAAAAAAAAAAGTCAACACATAAACTGTTTTGGGATTTTTTTTTTGTATTTCAGCACAGATTTTAATTAAAACATATATTTTTTTAGTATAATTACAGAACCACGCCCTAAGGGTGCTGGGTTCTGTAGACCAGGCGTTTACAAAGAGCCTCTCAGCAGACCCACCCAGACGCTTCTGATAACTCAACCCAAGCACTTAACACATCTGTGACCTGTTGGTCTGCTGACTCCCTGCACTCTCGCCTACACCATCTGCCACATGTGGAAAGGTAACACTAGCCTGAAAGTAGAGCCGCACATCTGCACCCACATCTGCACACAACAAGATATGGGAATTTAGAAACCAACGTCCTGAGCACATGGTCAGCAAACAGTCTCCTGATGTAAACATTGTCCGTTATTCAGTAAATAACATTAACTCAGACTCAGTTGTACTGAAAAATGTGAAAAGGTTCTTATTTTTAGATATTTGATCAATAAATATGTATTTGAAGGCAATTTTCTGCAATAAAACCCATCACCAGAAGAGATCCAACTCAGATCTACAAAAACGTTCCCATAATGAGCACTGACTTTAAAAAGCTGCCCTCTACAACACATCCCTTCTCACAGATGTAAGGGGAAGATCTCCTGAAGTTCGAGTCGAGATCAATCCTCCCTACAGAGAACAGATGGTCCTACTCTGCCACCTGGTGGTTTATGATGCATCTGCAGCTAAAGGGCAGAGGAACAGTACTTCATAACAGATGACCCAGACTGTTCCTGTGAACTGCCTTTTTTGTTCATCAGCTGGATTAAAATTTCAGATCTCCAAGATTGTTGATAAAACAATAAGATAAATTGTTAAAAACAAGCAAACAAACTTTATAGAGGTGTATGAAAAGCAAATAAAGCACTAGTTACATAGTAAATACAAAATAAACCTGCTTAACCTCCTTATCAAGAGTAATAGAAGAAAGAAATATTTTTAAATAAAGTTTCTGTATGTTAAAAAAAAGCTAAACATATATCACAATAGTTACCTACAACCAAGAAGTGTCATAAATAATGACTTTTCATTATTATAAGCTTTACAAATTCATAGTCTATAATTCTTTTGTAGCAGAATAATCAGTACACAGTAGTATTAACTCTCTCTAGTATGATCTTAAAACAATATTTCCCCCAATAAACATTTTTCAACATTTAAGCTGTAAAAATATTTAGGAAACAAAACAATCATTTAGCAATCCCCCAGTATTTCATAGGGTTTTTTTTTTGTTTTATATATTTTTTTGTAACCACTACCTGAAATAAGGCAAATAACTTGCTATAGTGAATGATAAACCATGCGTTTATGTGTGAACTTTGTTTGTACCTGGACACATCTTGTGCATTATTGATTCTTGCTGCCTCCAGAAGAGCATCACCTGGCAATTTTCAAAAACACGGCATTAATATTAGTACACAGTAGAAAGCGGTGGGTATCATCAGTTATTGTGTCCAATTTTTATTCAATAATATTTATAAATCTTTCTGGCATACTTGTGTATTTTTGAGAATCTTTTTATATTTTTATTGAAAATACAATTAACTATTAAGTGGCTGTTCGACATAACTGTGTACCTTTGTTATCTGAGTCTTTCCTCAGGCAAAAGGCCACCGCTGCGGCTGTCAGCACCCCAGCTGAGGCCAGTCCGGCTCGGCTGGCATCTCCACCTGAACCCCGGCTCCCGCTTCCACCGCTCTGCTTGCCGTCCTCCCAGTATTGGTTGTTTTGGCGCCCTCTGCTGGCCAAAGCCGCCCATGAACTGCGGCGATTCTCTAGGTTTGACAGCCATCTTGGGGCGAGGTGGTGGTACTGCACAGAATGGTTCACGCTGGTACCAGCGGTCTCCTCTGACAAAATCCCCCTCCTAGAGACCCGGGACGTGGATACGATGGGGTTGCGGTTGGTCTCCGCCGGTGTTTGAACTGCGGCTCCGCTGGCGCTGGTCTGAAGCACCCGAGCACACGGTGACAGGCTGCGCGACCTTCGCGTCAGTATTCTGGTTGGAACGGATGATAACATTGCAATAAACTAAAACAACAACCTGAGAGGTAGATAAAATCCTTAGCAGGAGAGCGACCGATGAGCTTTATAATCCGTGAACCAAAAGCACCGCGCCGGTTCAGGTGTAGCTTCCTCCGCTCTTTAAACAGCCATGTAGTTAACTGAAAATAACCGTTTCACCTCAGCTAGCCTGGACGTCACTGGAACCCGCGGTGCATTCTGGGAAATTGGGTTCTTCTAGAAAAAATGTGTAAACGGCGTTTGTTATGACGAAATGTTATGTCACTCAGCTGTGACGCTTTTATTTGACATTTGCTTTACTTTGGCTAAGATTTAGAAAAAAAGGATACAATTTTTGGCCAACTAAATTGAAAATTAACTAATTTGAGAAAGAAAAATATTATTGTATGTAAAACAATTGTTAAACTAAAACGTTCATTTATATTTGCCATGTATGGGGCTCAACTTATGTTGATAGTATTTATTAAAAGGAGAAAATATATTTAAGCATTATAATCCTGTGGTAATCTTTAAAAGAGTGTTCTGCAGAGTACGGAAGAGGATTAGGGCCCCTGGAAAATAAAGTTAACAGATTTTTAAAAATATTATTTCAGTTTAATATGGGAAAAATTCAGAATTTTGACTTTAATCTCAGAATTCTGACTTTTTTTCTCAGAAATCTGACTTTTTTTCAAAATGCTGGCCAGAAAAAGTCTAAAAGGAGAAAAAATAATGACATGGTCCCCTTGTTCACCTACAGTAATCTGAACCTTGAACTTCATGAAATGTGAAATCTACAGGGAGGGAAAACAGTCCACCTCTCTGAACAGTGTCTGGGAGACTGTGGAGGCTGCTGCACGCAATCTGGATCACAAACAGATCAAGACACTGACAGAATCTATGGATGGAAGGCTTTTCCGCATCATGGTGAAGAAATGTGGTTATATTGGTCACTGATTTGTTTTTGGGGTTTTTTTTGGCTTTTTTTTAATGCCACAACTGTTGATTTCTGAATTTTGAGTTGTTATATTGGTTAACCTGGTGAAAACAAACAAGTGAGATGGGTATATATTTGTTTTTTTTTTTTACGTGGCCTAATAATTCTGCACAGTATATATTTACCTGCACACACGGACATTCTCATAAAATGGCCAAATCTAAACAAAAACAAACAAAGAAAAAAAAAATCAACTTCCAAAAATATGACACTTTGACATTAAGGATTCTTTTGGGTTGATTGAGAACACAATTGTGGCCCAATAATAAAACAATCCTCAAATACAACTTGCCTAATAATTCTACACACAGTGTAAAGAGATTTGTTTTTGTGGAATAAAGAGGTAACAGGTGCTTTCTAGCCTTTAAAACTGAGCTTTTAAAAACTAAATGGTTAGAAATTTAATTCCCAAGTCCACTAACAGTTTAAATGTAAATGTTTCAGGACATATGCTACAACGGTTGCATTCTGTTTGTCAGGCCACTGAAACTTGAGAATCCGACTTGACTCAAGAACATCTGCCTTCAGATAGGAAGAAAAATGGGTGGACCTTGATGATTTTCTGTTCAATGCACTAGTATGCAGAAAGTACAATGCAGAAATGTTAAATGCATTAAAGAGATCCATATATTAGTTCCTTTTATACAAAAGTGGAGCCGATGTCTAGAGGAATAATAGAAGGGAAGAGAATATAAGAGAATGGAATAGAAAATCTGTTTATCGTCCCACAATGGGGTAACTCTGGTGTTTACAGCAGCAAAAAGAGTGTAGAAAAAAATGGTCAAACAAATATGGACCTTAGAAAAATTTATAAGAATAACATAACAGTGAAGATTTAAAAGATAAACAATTAAATATTGTACTGTAAAATATTTTAACATTATAAAAACTAAGGTGATTTGATATATTGATCCAGCCTCATCAGGATCAACAAACCATATTGTGTTACTATTGTCATTAAGCATGAACACCACTAGATGGCGTGAGAACATCTCTTCTAAATGATACAAAATTTGAAAAAAAAAAAAAAAATGAAACATATATTTCAGATTGAGACTAAAAATTACTGAAAAAGATGTTCCCATGTGTAATTCAGTCCGAGTTAATAATCATACTAGGTTTGGTAAAATTGCATGTAGTGAAATTATTATATTGATGAATTACTTTATCATCAAAATATATCGGAAGGACACCAGCATATTGTTTTTAACTTTTTATTTAATATTTATTTGGAAATTAAAATATGTTAAGGTTTAAAAAATGTTTCAACCTTTATATTTATTTATGTTAATGTATATTAATAATAATTGTTAATGTTACACATTTTCTGGCTTCCCCTGAATTTTTTCTTTCAATTTTTTTCATCAAAAAGCAGAAGATCAGCCTGCTGTATGTTAACATTGCTGACGTGGAGCTCAAACATGAGAGGAAATTCAGTACATCGTAGTCACTTCCTATAATATTTATATCTGAATAAATACCATTGATGTTCTCCCTTAGTCTCATTGCGTTGTTTCCTGTAGCAGAGATAATTCTGCTGTGGATAGAAACACACTTAACATAGAAATTAAGCATCAGACTGATGAAATTAATCAGCATCTGGTTATGCAGAGATGTTTTTTAGGTATCCCAGGTTATATAAATGGATATTGTCTAAACTTAGCACAATAGGTAAATCAATTTGCATATGGTTGATTATCTCACTATATATCAGCTAATGCTTTTACCTTTGAATATTAGCCACAAATAAAAATAAAAAGCAACAAATGAGTGGGTTTCCCAGCATGGAAGTACAGTTATAATGTTTTAGATTGTGTGCTGGTGGCAGACGTTGTCCCTCAGCAGACATGAATCATCAAGATGAAACATATTCTGCCAGAATAAATCTGCTGGCACCTTTCAGATGTGTCAGTGTGGGTTTGCTGTCATAAAATACTTGACATTAATTTCCTCTTGGAACACATCTGTTATGACACTCTGCATTCCCACTACTGAGGCCCAGTAAAGGCTGTCCACGTGAGCCAAAACATTGTGTTCCTGGGAAATGCTTATCTGAGCAGCTGGCAGGGGTAGGTAGGTAATGGCCACTGCATCCGTTTCTATGAGTCTAACGGGAAAAACACCTCACAGTGGTTTAATAAAATTCCCACAGTTTTGGGTAAAAAGTGAATTTTATGCACTAAAATGTTGATTTCACACATTTTCATTTAAGGGAATCCCTGAAGTAGAGCTAATATGTTATACCGGTAAGCTAAACTGGCATCTAGCTAAAGAAGAGAGTAGTAAGATATTTAAAAGTTCAATAATTTGAAAGATCACCTCTGAATTACTGAGTTTTTGTTAATAATTCCTCTTGACAGCAACTTTTAGCATCTCTTTAAGCTGTTGATTTTGGTAAAAAAGGTTATTTTTTTGTCAACCCTCCATTGTAATGTAAAAAAAATGGCCTCAATGTGGAAATGTACATATCCTGGTTTATCACAGACTTGATTCTTGGTGGTTCTCGAGTTGCTCATAGACATTCAAACCCATTTTGTTCTTTTTTTTTTTAGCATTGGCATCTTGTGTGAAAAGGTTTTAAATCAGGATGGGACACCAGTTTTAAGGGTCTGACTAGTCAATTTTTTCTTAAGGCTTCTTGAAACTTTTGACAGAACAATTCAAGGGCGAAATATATCAAGGTGGAACCAAATTCTCACTTTTCTTCTCCTTTAAAAAAAAAAAGACTTTGATTGTACAGTAGATATTGGAAAAAGATCAGTTCTTGGACAAAGCCCACACTCCAAGGCTTACATTCATAAAACAAACACAAACTAAAACCCCTAATACAACAAGACAATATACTGAAAAACATGCCAATTATCGAGAAGAGTAGAACCAATTTTAACTAATTTTCTTTCCAGTATAAATGTTTTTAACCATAAACTGTTCTTCCCTGTATGATCCCTTAAACATTAACCAGCTAATGTGGAACCAGACATTTTTGCGAAGAAAGCAGAGTTTTTTTTATTATTTGCAAAATGTTCCTTTTTGAAAAATAAATGGTAAAATTCTCATCATTTAGGGATTAGAAATTATGGACACATAACAGGTTTAAACTTTCTCTCTGAAATACATGGACATTTGTAGTAAAGATGAAATAGAAATAAAATATTTATTATTTGAGTACATCTAAACGTTTTTAAAGTACTCTGCAGAACAAGCGAATACGTTAAAATATTCTCCAAAAAGCCAACAGGAGGCAGGCTTCTTCAAAACTAAAATACCAAGGCTCATACTTGCGGTTGATAAGTTTTTTTTGTCACTATTATTTTCTTAGTTAATGCAACAATTTTAATCTTACATGATAAATAAAGTTATGGCTGGACTGAAAAAATAATAAAATGGAGTCAGCCGAGTTACTGCTGGGTTAACACAGTAAATAATAGGTAGATAAAAAACAAACAAACCTCTTCTAACTGTGGCCAATCTAAACCTTGAGAGTTTTCAATCCCAGGGTTTCATCTGTGCACCTGAAGGCAGCACTTACTGCACCACAACTTCTGCAGAGGCGTAGCCAGAAAATGTTAGGGGGGCCAGAAAATAACCAATGTACACTGAGGGGTTGCACCAGAACCTCAGGGTCAATCTACACTCTTCCAAAAGGAAAATTAACCAGCAAAAAAATCCAGACAATTTATACTTCCCTACAGCCTTTGTTAACAAATAGATGCATATATCTAAACATCTGTGCTTTATAGATAAAAGGTATAGTGGATAAAATCCTTTCAGGTTTGAGTTCTGGGGCGGACATATTTTCCTTTGTTTTCACTTACCTACTTTTATCAACAATCATTCTGGATAAAATTGATATTTACAAGTACTAATATCTACATAAATTGATTATTTAATAAAGTTTTATTAAAATAGTTATTTATCTATGATTTCACTGAAAGCTCCTAGATGACTTGCAGAGACACATCATTTTCTCTTTACCCCATAAAACACAAAATCTAGTTCTGAAAAGAGCAGGAATTCTGTACTTATCATCTTTAATGCTAGTATTTTAATGTGCATAATTAACCACAGTGTTTTTGTTGTCAAGTAAATGTTAATATATGAAAATTTTAAATGTTTTCAATATTCTACTTGAGAGTATTACTGCTGCCACTGTCTGTATTAAGCCGGGTGTGCACTGTGCAATTTCTTTTTCAATCGTTGCAAGCAGCTGCAGCTCACACTGTACGACGAAACCCTGCGGTTTCGTCGTACAGTGTGAGCTCACAGCTCATGATGCATGTTCGGCCAGACGCTCTGATGCGATCTACCTGCTCACACTGTACGACTATAAAACACGTCAGACTCAGCTGCGCAGTGAGATGGAGCTGCTATGACTCGTCTATCTGGAAGCCAAACAAATAGAAGGGGAATATGAAGCTCACTATAGTGAAACGCGTTGCCTTGGCAATTTGTGCAATTTTGTGCTGAAAGCCCTAAAAAGAAAAGATGACTAAGTATTTGGAAAAAAGACCTGGCTGAGCAAACGTGGCTACCACGGTCTGTCAGTTTTACAGACAGAACTCGCTGCTGTGTTTACATCTTAGAGGAATAAGGAAAAGGAGATTCCTTGTTTGCGCACCGAGCGATTTGCCCACGACGAGGCTCATGATTCCTGATCAGAAGGTGGTCATGAGAGGCTGATTGCCCCTCGTTACCCCCTGTACACTACATGACTTAAGACACACGATCAGGATGAAAGTCGGACCGATCGAAAGATTCTGGCATGACTGGAAAATCCCCGGAAAATCGCACAGTGTACGCCCGGCTTTAGAGTTGAAAAAATAAATAAATAAATAAAATAAAAAGGGTCATGGCCACCCCTGGCCCCCCATCATGCTCCTCCCCTGAACTTCTGGGCTTACATCTTAGGCATCTCAAAACAAAAGCTTTACAGAGCGATTACGTTGATTATAGAAAAAAACGTATTTCAGCCTAAAGTAGTAAGCTTAACAAGAAAAAATATATCTTAACGCCACACATGAGCATGTGGAAGCTCTGAGCGTTACGAGGAGCACCTGAAGGTAACACGGGGAGGTGCAATTGAATGAAGCCTCTCCTGCGCCGCTAGGTTCCTCCTCCTCCTCTTCCTTTTATTTCTGCTGCTCGCATCTTTTTCACCACCTGCCGCAGCTGCAACGGAGAGATGGAGACCTTCCTGTGATTACTGTTAAGCTGCTGGAAGGACCATCCGGCCAGGGAAGGACAGAGAGACAGCGAGGGGTGAGGAGCAGGAAGGGGGACCGCGGACAGAAACATATGGTTGAACAGAGGAGCGATTTTTGTTTCTTTTTTCCCCTGAGGACTGCTTAAACGAACATAAACCTATTCACCCACCCGTATATCCGCCAATGAGACCCCGCTAACCTCAGTTTTAAGCCTTAGAGCTCACCTGCTCCTGTCACACCTCTGTCTCATTACTTATTGCGCTCTTTGAAGCTGCCTGCACGCGCTGAACGCACAGACGCTCACAGAGAGCGTCACGAGACGCGGTACAGCCTTTATACCAGCTTCCTGTAATTAGATAACTTATTTTCTCAGAGGTGGAGGTAATATATTCGGTTTCTTTTCGCCCTTTTTTTTAAGCATAAGGCTGTATTTCAAGTGAGAGTCTCCTCCTGCAGCTCCTCAGCCATGTCTGGACACACTGTGACCATCCCGGACGACAGGGCGTTCGCCAGCTTCAAGGCGGAGTGTCTGTGTGAAGAGGGCTGGACCATGACCTACAGCAAGGCGGGCATCACGGTGTGGACCCAGGTGCTGGAGGAAGGCAAGTCCGTCCATAAAATTAAGGTAAGGCAACAGATTCTGGTGTTCCGAAGCCCACAGGTGCATCTCAGTCAACCCTAATATTTAGAGATTAATTTCAGCAACTCTCTACAAAAACAGTGACACTTGTAGGCCTATATTAAAATGAATTGGATATTAAAGAAGATGTGTCTTTTAAAAACAGTAATATTGTCATTGCCCACACAACTGTTATGGCCGTTTCCCCTACAGACAGCTGCCTAGACTTTGCACAAGCCATGTAAACCACAAATTGACTCTGTGGCAAACAACAGGGCTGTATCGAAGGGAATTAAAGGGAAGTTGAGCAGAAGGAAAAAAAGAGTGCATAAACAAAAGGGATGAAGCATTTTGAAGCTGCGATCCGATCTTCAACCAACAAATGTATGAATATACACAACACGGGGTGCGACTGTCAGGTTCCTTAGGTTAATTCAATTCAGTTTGTGTATATATATATATATATATATATATATATATATATATATATATATATATATATATCATCTTAAGGCACTTTACAGTTCACCAGATCATACAGTCAAATTGATTTTCTTACATTTTCTAAGTAAAACCAGTTGATTGCATCAACTCATTGACTCAAAGGCAATCCCTCACACTAAGCATGCTTGTAGCGACAGTGGAGAGGAAAAACTCCCTTTTAGCAGTACGAAACCTCCAGCAGAACCAGGCTCAGTGTGAACGACCACCTGCTGAGGCCGACTGGGGTTCAAGGAGACAGAAGCAGAGATACAAAGGCAGCTGTAAAAGGTGGCCCCGTCCAGGAAACATACAGCCAGGCAGATGAGCTCAGAGCCATGTCAGAGGATGAAGAGAGCACGTCCAGCCTGTCACAGTCAAGAGAAACAGGACTACACTGGAAAAACAGGCCGATCTCCAACATCTATAAATAAAGGTGTTGATGGCAGCAGCACAGCTGATATTTCTCTCCAGGATGGTGTCACAGCCAAACAGGAAAAGACGAGGCGAAGCTATATGAGAAAAAGCAGAGCGAGCATAATGTTAGAGATTGAACTAAAGGATTCTGCAGAGTGGGAGAATAGAGATAGAATGATGAAAAAGGGGTCCCTATGTCCTCCAAAAGTCTAAGCCAAGGGACATTGCAGTGCGCTTGTGCTCTGAGAAGGTTGCAAGTACCCGGTTCAATCCCCACAGCCTGCACTCTGGGTTCCTGAGCAAGACCCTTAACCCCACACTTCTCCCCTGATGCAGCACAATGGCAGCCCAGAGGTAAAATTCTTCAGTGTGAGATACATAAAGTTAAATTATTATTATTACTTGGGATAAGGAGGAAGGACTGGGCTGTTACTCATTTGTTCATATGAAAGTCATGGTTCTTTCCATCTGTCTCTGATAGCCAAAGATTTCAACTCTGAGTTACAAATTTCAGACAAAATGTCCCGGAAAGTCAGAATTGGGAGTCAGAGAGTTGGCAGAAGAGACTGGTACCCCAATTCTGCTTTGAAAATGGATGCTGCGCGCATCAACAGTAGTTAAAGTTTCCTATTTTGACCATTTCTAGCAGGTCTTTATTGTGTATGTAGCATTAAGTCAGTAGTCCAGGTGCTACTAGTTAATGTTTAGGAGAAGATTGGAATCAATAGTGTGTTAAAGGTATAGGCAGGTCTTTTAAAAAAAATTGCGAAAATCCTCCACAATACAGAACATTGCGTAGAACTTCAGAGTTTATATTACTCTGCCATTCCAGTTTCAAGTTCTGAACACGCCATGAAGATCAGAGTCTGAAAAAAGGTAGGAATGGCACAGAATCATGGCTGTGAGGATTTGGGAAGCTGTATCATCTGGTGAGGGGGGGTCACCTGTGCATTATTTAAGAAGTTGGGCATTTTAGAGCATGTTGCGCTTCCCCCTGCTGACATGTTTACGGATCCCAGCAGGACTTTCAACCAACTCAGATTGCTAATTGTACCAATGCCTGGTTGCTCACCTTGATGCCACTTCTGGTCAGCACATCTTCCAGACCTAAGCCCATTAGAGAATCTATGGCGTAATGATTAACCAGACCTAAAGATGAAGGTCCCCTTAAAGTAAGTTGGGTTTCTTGATCACTTTAACAATTACAGGTTGATAACCCCCATGTCCTGCTACACTGATACAGTAATTCATGCAAATGCAGTCTCAACCCATGAGTGCATAAATATCATAGAGTACATGAACATACTCCTTAGTACGACGGCATTCGTTTAATATAAATTATTTTTTTTAAATTATGCTTTCCAATTCATAGAGAAGAATACATTTTTGGCGACTTTTTGTTTTTAAAACCATGATAATTTAAATTCACATGAATGAGCCATCAAATTAGAATACCCTTTATAACAGATCTATGTGCAACATTAAAAGAAAGTCAGGGTGTCAGCATAAACACATCCTAGTAGCACAATGTAGATGCAAGGAAGAGCTCTGTTGAATTCCCACATGCTCTAAACTGCTGACATGCTGTAGCTGCTGCTTTATGCTGCAGGGCCCATTGCAGGCTTACAAAAACTCTAAAAAAGGGAACAAAAAACATTTTTTAATGTTGTTCATTTATAATCGCAAAGATACAAAACTGACGAGGAAAGGCTTGAGTAACACATCCTGTTTTAGATGTTTGCAGTAGAGCTGCACTCCGAGAGAAAATCCCCTTTATTAAACAGAAGGAGAGCAGGTGGGAAAACCTATGAAACAAACATTTGTTCCACCACTCCCAAGATAAAGAGCCACTGTTGGTAAACCATTGTTTTACATCTTTTTTATATTTGATCCCATCTACCCTAAACTTAAGTGTATTTCACTAGGATTTAAAATGATAGAGCAACACAAAAAAGCAGATCATTCTAAAGATTTTGAACATAGATGGGTTTAAAGTTTCATTATTCAAAAATGCGGTGTGCATTTGTCTTGCTTCCCTTTTTTTCTGATTGCCAAACATTGCCAAAAAACTGTCTTAAGAATTGGGCTTCATTAGTGAATGAAACGTGTCTGCTAGTACCATTTATACATTTTATAACATTCAATGTAATTGCTACTGTTTCCATTCCATAGATGTACCTTTATGGAAAATAAAAAGCATGGTGTGATTAGCATCTGATACTGATGCAGAAGTCTGGGTACATCATCTTGAAAACACTCATTATGCAATGAAACATGGTAATGGCAGCATTATGGTGTGGGGTTTTTTTTCCCAGGAGGGGTAAAAGAACTTACACAGGGAAATCAACAAAGAGACCTTGTTAAAGGATACAAAAAAAAAAACATCAAAAATAGGCATAAGTTTTCCTTCCAGGATAATGACCTTAAACACAATGGCCCAGTACTGCTACAGCCGTTTTTGCAGTATAAGATTGCTCTACATAGTCAGGAGTCTTATACAAAAGCAGTACTTTTTCTACTGTGTTAACATGCAGATTTATTCAATTTTCCCAAACAAAGGTAATAAGGCTTCCTGATTTAATATAAAAAGCAGTAAAACAGTTTAAGTGGAATCAACACTTTTAGAAACCACTGTTACGTCCAATTCAGCCTTTCCTACCTTCTACATAAGCACACATTTATTTTTTAGGTCGCAGTAGTTAGGTAAAAACATGATGGATGGATGGATTTAGACTGACAGTAATTATATTTGTTTGAATGTTATATAATTTGAACTGCCATAACCTTTCTTTTGTTCTGTATCTGCAGTGTGAGGAGTTGTATAAACAAATGCTTATCTGCTAAGAGTGTCTCACAATGCTGATCAAGCATATCGGAACAAGAATAGTTTCTTGAACAGTACTGTGCATATCTGCTATACTGGTGCACTGATAAGGAAAGGAATCCTCTTTGTTTCAACCAGAAAGCATGGTTGCTAACATGGACTAAAGAAAGAAACGCAGCTACAGAGACGGTGACAACTAAAGAAAAATGTAAAGTTCCAGATGAAGCAGCCCATCAAAATTTAGTAAAATGACAACAAAAAAAAAGGTTAACTTTATCTTAAATAAAACAGAGAAACGTGATGTTATTCTTATGAAATAAAGACAACCAGCTATGGTGTTTCAGACCATTATTAGACACAGTTATATTCATAGTCTACACACTCGCCCCACCCTGTTATAGAGGAACAGATGATATGTAGGTTAGACATTTGTGCTCTCACAGAGACTGTTTTATAATGTCCACTCTCTGAAGTGGTCTGGATCAATAGCTGTTGCAACACTTTCTTTGTGTGAGCTACAGGAAAGTTTCCAATGTAATAAAAATGAAAAAAACAACAACAATTATTTCTCGTAATAAAAGTGAGTGAGATATTCCGGAGTTTGAGTTCACTGATCTTAACAACAACAGATCTTTGAAAGGAAGGTCGTTTAAAAACGGTTGCATTGTCTGCTGCAGTTTCCATGACGAATTTTATGATTCGTATTTTTGCATAGATAATATATGTGGATCCACTATCAAAGAAAGTTCAGGAAACGAAATTCAAGCCTTGCAGCACTTTTTCTGTATTGCCAAATAAAACGTGGAATAAAATAAAGTGCATCCTATTCAGATTCTACAGTTAATTGATGCTTCTTTGTTCCTTTACCAATATTTGCCTTACAATCAGAATCCCTTTACTGTCATTATATGCAATACAATCACCTTAAAAGCCTCCAACATCAGTGCTTGTACAAAACATTAAATATTGAAAATCTTAACATTTACTATGTATAGTGTATATATATCCCAACATTTTTCATAATTGTCTGAAGGCGATTTAATAGAATTTCTATTGCATCAGTATTGTAGTGACACTCTGACCTTCTCTGAAATACTCCAGACTATATTCTTTTTAGATTTTAGTCTTTTTTTTTTTATGATGTGAGGGACTTGTGGTAATATGCATTGAGTCATCCCCATTATCTCGTCAGAGACAGACAGTTGGTAATTTCTTTGTGGTTGATGTTGCAGCATGATTAGGACCTTTTCTGTACTAACTTTAGCCGTTGCGGATGATAAAAACG